CCAACCAGAAAGTCCAAGGTTGAGCCAAGAGAGAGAACACAGAGAGAACACAGAAGCTACATTACAGCCCACCTTCATGGCTTACAGATTCCATGCCTATAGCTCCCCTCCATTTGGCCCTCCTATCCTTGAACAGCAACTCCTCCAGGAGAGGTACCCAGCCTGCAGCCCAACATACAGGTGGCGCTGACAAAGATTTGCCTCATGGACCCGCTGAAATTGTGAACAAATGAGCAGGGCCGTGGGATTGCCCTTGCCAAACATCCCTCACTTGTATAGCCAGGTGCACAGAAACAGAGGACACATCCACTTGCACTGTCCACATGACAGGAAATCCCATGATAGAGGCCAAAGCCAGGGAGCCCAGGACAGGGGCAAGGTCAGCACTGCTGGCCCGAGCCCAGCGTAGGGTCTCCATTGTAGCCATCCAGGCACCTGTGGGCAGTAGCACAAGGAATGGGGCCTGACCCACTCATCATAATTCCTACCCAACCCGTCAGTGACAGTGCTCACCTCTCACAGTGTCGGCCTATGATGGATCCACGGCAAGCCTGAAAGACACCTGTAAGTGGATGGCACAACTCAGCATGCCCATTGCAGGCACAGGCTGGCAGCATGGGAAGCCCCACCAGCCAGAGAGCTAGTGGTCACAACGGCAACCACCAAAGCCTGCCTGGCATGTGCACTGCCCACTCACAGGGTCACAAATGGTACTGGTGGCACCTCAGCGTGGCAGTGGCACTCTGGGGAATGACCAGGCAATAAAGTCATGTAGAGAAAGGATATGGTTGGTTCCAGACCCCATACCCATATTCACTGGCCCTGAAGGCTTACCACTGCAAACAGTGGGCCCGAAGCCATATGTTCCAGATATGCAGTGGTCACAGGTACAACCAATGATATTAGGATGGCAAGGGCACTGCCCACCAAGCAAGGCACACTCAGTACTCAGTGACCCCTGGGGATGGCACTCACATGCTGACAGAAGAAAGAGCAAGATGAACCTCACAGTTCATCTTCCTGAAACCCCTATCTTGCAGCCCCCTCAAGCCAGGGGCACACACTCACCAAGGCCACCCCGATGGAGCAGGGCTGAGATGCTGCAGACAAGGCAGACACAAACCTCAGGCATGGTGCTGGAGAGGCCAGTCCTTGCTGCCTCCATGCAGCCTGCCCTGCAGAGCTAATGTAAGTGCCCTGTGGCCCCAGGGTCCAGAGATATCAGCCCAGGCAATTCCTTCATCGGAGGCAAGAGCACAATCTGATAGGAGGATAGAGGGTGGCAGGCAGAGGGCAGTGAGCCCCCCACCACTGACTAGTACCTCCTAACTATTCTTCCTTGCGTGCGGTGGATCTCACTGCCCATTCCTGCCCCTTTTCATTTCTCTTCTGAACCTGTTTCTTCCTCCTCTCCAATGGCCCCGATCTAGTCTAGGCAATGCCACTTTCCACTCAGAATCAAAGCAGCAGCCTCCTCCTAACAATTCATTCTCCTCCATGAATCTTCCCTGTTCAAGCCCCTTCCATGGCTCCCCACTGCCCCATAGTAAGTGGCCCATAGGACCGCTGAGGTCCGATGGCTGCCTATTCTCATCTTCTTTCTTTGATATGTGATTTGCTCCTGCCTGGATCCCCCTCCTCACACTATCCACCTGTCTCTATCCTCTTGGTGAAACTCCAGGCCTCTGGGATGCCTACTCCCCAGCCCCACTGCATCCACATCATCATGTTATAATTTGTCTCCCCTGGATGTGGGGAAGTGCCCCTAGGACCTCACGGAATCCAGGATAGTGCCTCCCTCAGGTCTCCACACCCCCTTGGCAGGATCACGTAGTGTGTTCCCGGTTCAAAGCAGAAAGGTCTAGATAAAACCACAGCTCTGCAGGAGCAGGGAAAGAGTAAGGGTGGGATAAGGAGGCCATGATCAGGTGGTCCCAAGGATGTCCCATTTCTGCTGCATCCAGTATTTCATCTTATGACCCATGCAAAAAAGACCAACTTCTTAAATCCTACTGCTCTACATTCAGTCCCTGTTTTGATTGCTGTACAGCATAATGATATTCCATACTGGAGATTTTCCACTTTGTTGTTTCAAATGTGTTGTCAGCATACTAGGGTCTTGGTGTTGGGGGTCCTAGGGTCCTGCCTATCTGTGCTCATAGGTCAAGGCCACCTGAAACACTCAGCTGTTCTGAGTGCAGATGGGCACAGCGGATGCTCCTGGGGAGGGATTAGGCATGAACACAGACTAATGCCTGCCAGTCTTCAGGTGCCTGGAGTTAGAGGTCAGCAGTCATAGAGCCGTACTTGCCCGCCATCCAGCATCACATCACCCGTTCACCTGCTTGGCACCTATGTCACAGACCTTGGTCTCATAGCACAGGACAATGTCATACTCCATGGCATAAGGCACTGTGGGTGCCAGTAGAGAGAGGCCAGCCCCACCAACCACATGTGCAAAGTCCAAGCCAGTTTGCAGTACAGAGCCAGCTCCCTGCTGTAAGGGCAGGGGCTCCTCTGGGGCCTGGACCCTCAGGACTTAGATTCCCATTACCCCCAGGCCTCAGGGACCCATATCCCAGGGCATGGGCCTCATCCCTACTCAGACCTTCGGTAACCTATGACCCACCCCGTTCCTCAGATTCCTCACACTGGGCAGCTGGCTTCCGTGATAGGTTTGTCTAGCAGAGTGGCGGGCACATCGAGGGTCACGCTGTCTCTGAATTTGGGGCTGGAGCCAACCAGGAGAGATCCCTGAGGCTTGTGTACAGTGGGAAGGAGCAGCCAGGGAACCCCCTGGGGCAAGTCAGGTGTCAGTGTCCTCCAATATTCTGGCCCTCTCTTCTCCCATACTGCCCTGAAAATATGGGTTCTAAGGCACCAAATGTTAGACCATGCTGATGCTCCCACCTGGACTTCTCACCTTCCTAACTCTGCTCTAGTTCTCTCTACACATTCCCTCCCTCCCCTTAAAACCACGTCAGAGCCATGGTTTCCTCCTGCCCCTGCCCCTACCCCACCTGGACACTCACAGGCAACTGGGGGTCAGTTGCCTGGAGGACCTGGCCAAGCTCAGCTTCAGCAGTGGCTTGGTCAAGAGCAGCTCAGAAGTGCCCAGATTGGAGTTCATGGCAGAGACAGACACGGCGGTAAGGGCAGCACAGGCAGAGGCCCTCCCCAGCAGAACACCTGAGCAAGCATGGGGGTGAGGAGGGAAGAGTCAACTCCGGCTTCTTGTCACTTGATCCCAATTCCCAGGCCTTGCCTTGTATACCTGTTGCTGTAGGCACCCCCAAAGTCATAGTCACAGGGCCAGCAGCCTAGAGAGTCACTTCTCAGACCCCAGAACTTGGGCCATAAGAGAGAGCAAGTAGGTGGAAAAAGGACAGGAAGATCTGGGGCCTGGGAGATCATATACTGGGACTTCTTGTTGCAGGAGGAAAGGGTATGAGTACAGGGCACAAATGCTCCTCTGCTTATTGCTGAGGGGGTAAGGAAACCCCAGTGTACTTATGCACAACTTCTTAAGAGGACACTGCAGGGGTTAAAGTAATAATTAAGCAAAGGATTTACGTTAAAGGAAAGATAAGAAATGGATGGAACTGTTTCTTGGACTGAGTGTTCCCTCAAACGTGTTTGTTGCAAAACATCTTTAAACCCAATACTGTTGTAACTTGTTTCATTGCTTTTCTTTTTATGCTCCCAAAGCTCCCACCTATGGGCATATGCTGGTTCAGCTAGCTAAGGTGGCACTGACCTTGATTACCAGATCAGGGAGCTGAATCAACCAATGTGCAAGGCTCAGTCTATAGTCACACTGATTATAGTCTTATATTCATCAGTTTCTAGCAGCTCAATGCTCAAAATCAAGGTCAAATCACAAGGTGGATCAAGGTGCAACAGACAACGGCTGCAGTCCCGTCCAGAGACAAAGCGTTTGCAGTGACAGGCACTGCTGGAGGGATCACAGGTATGAGTGCCAGGGACCCAGCCCTGGGGGTCACACCTGCAGGCTAGAGCACAGGGTTCTTAGGGCACTATTGGGACTGCTGCAGGGGTAGGCACATGGTGTTATCAGAGCAGTGACTGGGGGCAGAGCAAGGACATGGGATTTGGGGTACATTCCCAGAGCAACTCACACTGGCAACCTTCTGTGCGGGTAGGGCTGAGGCCATAGCGACCGGGCCGGCAGAAGTCACAGCGCTGGCCCCAGACATGAACTTTGCAGTGGCACTGCCCAGAGAGGAGGCCACAAGTGTCACCTGTGTAGGCATCACACAGACACCCTTCACAGGGTCACAGTCACAGGCTGGATCATGGGTCAGAAATGAGAACAGAGGTCAGACGTCACCATGGAGCTGAAGGCTCAGAGTTGTGAATGGGGATTGGAGGGCTCACGTTTGCAAGGGTGAAGGGAACAGGGATCCTCCCTGAGATCTCGGTAGAAGGGCTGGCAGAGCTCACAGTGGCGCCCAGCTGTGTTGTACTGACACGCTCACACATGCCTCCACTCACATTGCCAGATGCCAAATACAAAGCCATGTCAAAAGGACAACTGCAGGCATGCCCACTGCACTTGCATTCTGGGGCAGAACAAGGAAGGTGGATATGGGGTGGGCTCACCCAGGCAAGTATGGCCAGGCAGACAGGGCATGGCACCTACCCTGGCAGGCGTGGAGGTGCCCAGACTCTGCTGCTTGCCATGGGTGGTCCTGGTACAGGTCCTGGCAGCACTCACAGTGGGTACCAGCTGTTTGGTGGCAGCAGACGCAAAGGCCATGCACCTGCCAGGGAGGAGGGCAAGATGAGTCTGCCTCAGTCCCCTAACATGCCCACCCTACCAGCAATAGGATGCCCCCCCCCCCCCGTGGTGCTCACCATGCCTTTCGTGTTGGCTGGGTCTCAGCTGTGGGCTTACACACAGAGGCATGGCCATGGGCACTGGCAGCTGCCTCTGGCCATGAGCTCATGAAAGGCCATAGAAGTAGAAGGGGTGTCCATGTAGGCCCCCCAGTGGCCTGTCAGTGTGTGCAGTTTGGAGAAGTTCACACAGAGGTTTGTCACATGCAGGAGCTCTGGAGACACAGATTGGGAGACCTCAGGTGCACTGGTCATCATCCCTCTATGGCTGGGATGGAAGGGGAAGGAATGGAGGTAGAGTCTCTTTTCTCTCTACATCACTACAGCCACCTCCTCCATCATTTCTACAGTGGGACTCTCCCATTCCTGTTCCTCTGGGCATACCATCTTTGGATGACTATAGTCTAAAGGTGATGATTCCACTTCTGCATGGCTCAAGCCCTGGTATCACTCCTGAGCTGAGACTTGCCCATCCCACTGCTTCCTGGACACCCCATCCTGGCATCACTAGATATGTGAAACCTGCTTCCTTAATGAAGAAGTAAAGCTTAACATTTCCCAGCCCATCATCAAAACTAGAAATCAGTTTATCATCCAGCCGAACAATATACAGTTACTAGTTTACTTATTTATCCCTTTTCTTTCATTGTCAGCTCCAAGAAGACAGATACCTTGTCTATCTGCTCCCCACTGAGCACTGCTCAGAAGATAGATGTCTGGCACACAGTGGAGCTCAATGGACACTTGTTCAATGTACACATGGGAGAGATGGGTCCATGGCTGAGCTGAGGTTATCTTTTTTATCCCTCCTTTGCCAGTTGTCTCTCTTCAGATCAGAAGAGCAACAGCTGCTTAGAAACCTAGTATGGGAACTCAGCGAGTAGTTGGTAATAACCAGTCAAGATGGGTGGCGAGTACAGAGAAAAAGCTAGGTTGGGGTATGTCCTGCTCTGGTACTCACCTGAACTGACTCTGGGCTGCCCTGCTGGGTTTTGGTTATGTCTCTTCTTTCAAGACTTCGGCTTTACAAGAAAGAAGTCACAACCCAGACACCCTGGCACCACTTAGAGGTAGCTGCAGAGATGTAGGGTACCACCTAAGGCCCTGGTGATGAATCAGGGGAGGGCAATCCCAGGAAACCAGAATGGGGGCAGTGATGGAGGCTCAAAGAGGGGACAGTTACAAGGTTCAGTGATAAGTGCAGTGATGGGGTACATTGTTGGGGGCTGACATAGAAAGTAGTGATGGGAACCACAATGGGGCCCCATAAAGGAGTTATGATGGGACAGATAGGACAGAGAATGGAAACTGCTACACATGCCTGTTCTATGCATTGGGCACGGGTGTGGGGAACAACGATGGGACAGGAATGGGGGAGCCCTAACAGGGCTCACAATAGGGGACTATGATGGGGCAGAGCTGGGGAATGATGCTGCCTTGCCTGCCATTCTGCCCCACTTGTGTATACACCCAGGGAGGACCTCACCTTCCCCCCAGTATCTGGCTATCTTGACATGCAAGGATACAGGATTGGCTGTGGGGATTATTACCCTGAATGTTGGGGTTGTTTGGGCTCTCCACCAGAATGGCTGGGTCCAGAACTTTGAAAATTACCTGAGAGAAAAAAGCAAACCTGAGCCTCTGGATTCACCCCATGGCCCAACCCCCCTTCCTCTGGGCCTGACCTTGTCCTCAGTGAAAGGCTCAATGTTAGAGTAATGCTGGTCACAAACAAGGTCACTGACTCTGTGGCCAGGAGCAAGAGGGATCCCAGGAAAAAGGCCTGAGCAGTTGTAGGCAAAGTATTGGTACACGTGCTAGGAGTGGCCATGGTCCATTGAGCACTCCAGGAGCAGAGCTGCTGGGCGGAATGTCTGGGGATTGGAGGGGATCCTTGGGTCACCTGGGGCAAGCATCACTGGTGGCCATCAGGTCAGGAGGCACAGAGTAAGACTTCAGACTGGGGCATTGGGTCACCTTGAAAGTCATGATGAGGTGGATAAAGTAGAAGGTACTCTCTAGGTCAAGCTGGATGGTGACATTCTCAACACCTGTAACCACCAGGGCTTGTTAGTGGCCAGGCCCTGACCCTAGACCCGCACACATGAGCACATGGGTACCCTCATCACTCTTTGCTTGCCACCAGGTCTTCCTGTTGCCATAACCACTCGAGAGCACATTCTCAATGCCATGGCCTCCCTGGTTCCAAGAATCACAAAAGAAGCACTTCTCAGATTCCTGGGGTAATGCCCAAGGAGAATGACAAGGCAGGAAGTACATGGAGCTACAGCCCCCTTCCAAAATTTCACAGCACAGGCCTCCCTCTGCAGCCCCCAGCAATGACCTAAACCCCCAAAGGCCAAACCTACCCAGGAAAACCCAGAGATACCATCTCCAGAGCTCTCACGCTCCTACCCCCCTATAGGTGACTGACAATGCAATAGGGCTCAGGGCCATGAAGGCCACAGGTGGACGAGGCTCGAAGGTTCTGGCCACAGCCACCAATCAAGTCACCAGTAAGTGGGTAGCAGCTGCCACTTGAGCAGCTGGGTGGGGGAAGTGTGTCTGGCACCTCCTCAGCAATTTTTCTGGGAGCCTGGATTGGGAAGGACAGGGTCTGGGTAGAGATCCGAGGGGTATCCCCCACCTCACTGCCCCACAGGGAGGCCTGGAGAATTCTTCCCCTCTGGATGCCCCTCAGGGAAATAAGCCAACCTCTCATCCAGTGGTGGCAGCAGCAGCAGAACTGAAAGGAGTTGTAGACTGGAAAGGAAGAAGCCTAGCCCGGCTGGGGGTCCTGGGCCATGGAAGCTGGAATCAGGCCTGAGAGAGAGGATGAAGAGTGGGTCCCAAGCAGGCTACCCTTGAGGAGCAGGGTGTGGCCCCATACTCACATGGTAGATGAAAGCAGGACTGCCAGACACAAGGAGCATGCAGGGCTGTAAAGCCACGGTGAGGCTGGGAGCAAAGTGGTCCCTAGAGCCTGGGAACCAAGGGAGACCACACCCTATTAATTGCAGCCACCAGATGCAGAAAAAAAAAAAAAAAAAGGGAAGGAGTACCAAAAAGCAAGCAAAACTTCTCTACAGGTCTGCCATCCAATGCAGCAGACGCTAGTGGGGCCAGGGTTCAGACTAATCCAGAGACGGAAAAGATGGATTCTCATTCAAATGAGGCTACCACCCTAGCCCTGAAACGGGCTCTAGGAGCCTCTGGGGAATGTGTTCCCCTCCCTGCCAGCCCCAGCCATTGCCTTTCAGGCTAGGCAGACAGGGAAAGACTGGCAGATGGGAGGGGAGCTAGTTTTGTTCAGGGCCCAGTACTTCCGAATGGAAGAGCCATTAATGTCTGAAACACATACATGCCCCTGTGGGAAGCTTGATAAGGCTAGACCTGAGAAAAGAGTGCTTGGGACCCAGGCAGAAAGCACTGATGATGGGATGAAGCAGTTGTGGAAACTCTCCTGGTTCAGCTAACACAGTATCCCACTCATCCAGGGAGAAAATTCTGCAGTCAGTGAGGACACTCAGTGGCCCTACAACCCAGGGCCCTGGCCTCTGACTCAATCCCTAATCCCTTGCCACCAACTGGGGAGGTCAATCAAGGCTGGAAGTTCAGGGAGTTACTTTAGTAAATTCAGTCCTGGCCCTGCCCCAGACAAGCTCAGATAGAAGTCCCAAGACTTTAGCCAGAGCAGGTTAGGAGACAAGACCAGGCTGTCTGAACAGCCCCTGGGGAGCAGTACCACAAAACCCTGCCTCCCTGGCCTAAAAACCTGCTGGCTGCAAGGTTCCTCACAGAGCCACCCACTGTCCTCTTGTATAGGGCCTACCTGGATAACAAACCACTGCAGGCCTAAGGGAGGTATGCCACCCTCAGGGTGGCTCTGCCCCTGTCCTCAGGGGCTGCTTATCAACATCTACAGAGACCAGCACCTCCAGAAGAGCCTGGGAGTTACTCTTTCCACCCACATCAATGACCCGTCTCAGGCTGCCAGGACCCTCTCTGGCAGCCCTGTTCCTGTGGCCACTTTTCCTATATGCTGCTGGCCTATCAGCAGCCAAACGCAAAAAAATAAAAATAAAAAAATAAACAAAAACAAAAACATGAAGGGTGGGCAGGGAGACTGGAAGGTGGAAAGGTATAAAACGTGATAGATGGACAGTGGAGGTACAACTCAAAGAGTAACAAATCACAGTGCATCGCGCCATGAGACCACCCCTCCCGCCCACCCATACCACCCCATATCCTCCAGTCTCTGAAAGGAGAATGGTGGCTCTCTGGGCCCTGGAGAGGCACCTGGAGTCCTTGGGGTTGTAGAATCCATGGGCATTGCACACTGTGCCACTGGCCACACAGACAACTGGACTCAGTTTCCCCAAACATTGCTATATGCTGAGTATGGCAGCAATGGCTGGAGTTGTATTACAGGGGACAGGTTCACACGGAGGATCTGTTGAGCCCGCTGCCGCACCTCATCATCTGAGCACCGCCTGTCCACCTTGATGGCCCGGAATTTCAGCAGTTTTGCTGTTCCAGGCCCTAGCCACACCTTAGGCGATCGGGGCCCAAGTCGTGTTCTTTTCCGGAGAGGAAGATCCTTTGCCTCCTCAGCCCTTTTCCTCTTCTGCCCCACAGTCTCAGGGTGGCTTTTCTGGCCCCTTTTTGCAGTCCTGGCCTGAACAGCCCCTTTTGGCCTGTCCCTGCTCCTGGACTGGGTCTGAGCCACCTTGGCCTTGGCCCGTACCACCTTGGCCTTGGCCCGCATCACCTTGGCCTTGGCCCGCACCGCCTTGGTCTTGGCCCGCACCGCCTTGGTCTTGGATTTAGCCCGCACCGCCTTGGTCTTGGCCCGCACCGCCTTGGCCTTGGCTTTAGCCCGCACCGCCTTGGTCTTGGCCCGCACTGCCTTGGCCTTGGCTTTAGCCCGCACTGCCCTGGCCTTGGCCTTATTAGCCCGCACTGCCTTGGCTTTGGCTTTGGCCTTGATCTGTGCTGCCTTGGCCTTGGCCCTGATCCGTGCTGCCTTGGCCCTAGCCCTGATCTGTGCTGCCTTGGCTTTTGCACGAGCCTTGGCAGCTTTGGCATGTGTTCGAGCCACCTTGGCCTGGGCAGCTTTGGCCAGTGTTTGAGCTGCCTTGGACTGTGATGTTTTGGTGCCCAGAGCAGAGCCACCTTTCATTCGTAGGCTACTAAGGGACCCAGTGGCTTTGTAGGTCTTGTTCCGGGGCGTAGTGCCTTGCTGAGGTCTGGCCTTGGGGGCTCTGTGAGTCAGACACTTAGGGCCCTTGCCTGTGGCTTTTCTGGGAGCTTTGGATCGACAGTTCCCCGGCCTCTTTCCTGGACCTTTGCGCAGCTTCAGGGGAGAGTCTGCAAGCGAGAGCTGCAGTGACTGTGCCTTGTGCTTGGCACCCAAGCAGGGCATGGGAGTCTTTAGTGGAACCAGGGCCTCAAGGACAACAGAGAGCCGCATGGCAGGGTAGACACCTGGATAGAGGTGGGCAGGGAAGCCCACTGCTGCACCCTGGGCACGGCTGGCACTTGACTGCTTCAGGGAGCTCAGCAGCAGGTTGGTGGTAGCATGTTTGGCAAGGGCTGGTGTGGATGCTTTGGCCAGCCTTCCAGATAGTGGCACAGGGAGCAGCGTGGCCCGGCCTGCAGGCAGCCGCATGGCAGTTCGGGGAGCACTGGTTGGAGGTGATGTGGCAGCTGGGGTGGGGGCACGAGCTTGCAGTTTCGTCTGGCTTGGGGGATTGGCTGTGCATGAACTATAGCCATAGACATCACCGCTGCGCAGGATGGTGGGTTGGAAGCCATCATCCCGCAGGCCCTGCAGAAAGGCTACAAGCTGGGCCTCTGTGGCACTGAGATCCTGGCTCATGGGGTTAAAGACAAGCAGCGCCTCCTCCAGGGCCTTCTTCCCTGCCGTGGAGATCCGCGACCAGGAGTGCACAGCTTTCTCCTCCACATGCTGCACCACCACGCTCATGGCATTAGGCACTGCAGATCTGCCTGGGTATCCACAAACCAGCGCTCAGCACCTCCAAGACAAGAGGAAAAGAATCAATAAGAACGGCACCGAGGGGCGCCAGGCTGGCTCAGTTGGTGGAGCATGCGTTCCTTGATCTTGGGGTCATGAGTTCACACCCCATGATGGGTGTAGAGCTTACAAAAAATGATACTTTGGATTTATTGGATTAAAGAAAATATATCATTAAATTAAAAAAAAAGAATGGCACTGAGATAAGGGACAAGGCAAGTAGGTAAGTCCATCAGGGTCTACACTCTCCACAATAACCACCACTGATACAGAGGGGCCTGGCCAGTGAGCCACTTTTTGCGGCAAAACCCTGGTCTCCTGAACTATCATGGTGTCAGGGTGAAGACTGGGATGGCAAGGAGGACCCATATGGGTCAGAGGCAGTTTCTTCAAGATAAATGTCCAGAAGCTCATGAGAGCATCCAAGCGGCTGTTGGGTCCCTGGAAAGATTTGGGCTTGGTTGGCCCATTTTAATTCAATTCTCCATTTTCTGAGGCCAGAAATCTGGTATTAGACTCAACCCTGGGAACACAGGTGAATATCTGCCTTCAAGGAGCCTTATACAGAAGACAAGACAGAGACCATCAAAGTTCTAGGGAGTGCACATTGGCTCCCAGGTCAGCTTGCCACTGGGTCAGGGAAGGATTCCTAGGAGAGGCAACACCTAGGTGGCACACAACTGATGAACAGGAAGGACCAGATGGAAATGGAGCAAAGGGCGGAGCAGCCTATGCAATGGCTTGGAAATGAGAAACAGTAAGGCACATTTAGTGTGTGTGACTGGGGTCTCTGGTTAGGACTAAGAGATCTAGATGGAAAAACAACTAAGAGCAGGACAACATGAGCCTTGAAGTCAAGCCCATCTCAGTTCCTTCAGCTGCTGTTGTTCAGGTGCTCAGGGGTGAACCCCCGTCCTCCAAAAGTTCTGCTTTCAGAATCCCCAGATAGGCTCAGAAGTTTGACTCCTGGCACTCAAATCACAGAGACTAATCCCAAAGTAAGAGTCAGACTCTCCTTCAACAAAAACTAAAAAGTAACAGGTACTCAAGACACGCGTCTGAGCAATCAGGCAGCCAGACCAAGAGCCTAAGGTCTGACAGCCAAAGGCTCCAACAGAATGGTTAATAAGGTGGACACTAGAGATTTGAGCTGTCCTAACTAGGGTCTGGAGGGCTGCAGACCTCAGTCTAGCCCAGATGGAGCTGTCTGGAAACACTCAAGTTGTTATAGGCTTCATCTCCGACGTAAGGCATCAGTCACGACTAATGTCTAATGCCCAACCCAGGACTGAGGGCTCCCAGAGGGAGCTCCCCAGCTGTACTGGAGCATTAAAAGATCAGCTGGGATCAGGCAGGTCCCTAGGGCCAGGAGGAGCATCTGTGCAGCTTCTTCCCACCACCCTAATGGAGCAGAGGAAGTTTTCAGAATCCCCTGGAGGAAGTGCCCTGGGGCTCTTTGTTTGGAAACATTCTTGGATCCTCAGGTGTCTCGGCACTTCCTCTCTCCAGAGGCCATTCTCCAAGCACAATCCTTGCACATGACTTTAGTTCTTTTATTATTTTTTTTCCAAGGGGTGTAGTTCCCAGGACTGTGAACTGTTGAATAGGGAGAGGGCTGTTTCCCTGCAGGCACAGATATTGGGGGTGAACTGGGGGCTCTTCCGCCCAGGTCGGTCTAGACTCTTGGGAAGGGTCTTCTGGGCTTTCCAAGAGGCTCCGGAAACAGAGGCTGCAGTCTCGCCCCCGACTTCCCTTTACACGTGCCCCCGGGGCCGACAGGGAAGTTGATGAAAGATGGGGGACGGGAGAGGCCTCATCCAAGGGGGACCGGGCTGGGGACAGATCAGGGCCATTGGCCTGGGAGTCCATGTCCCTGGGGCCTGAGCCGCGGGTAGGAGCAAGGATCTTGGAGGCAGCGAAACGCGCGGGACGCGCGGGGCGAGCGGGGCGAGCCCGACTGGGTCGCACAGCCCCAGGGTGGGGTCGCTGGGCAAGGGGTAGGGGGGGTGGGAGGAATCTTGGCCGGGCTGGTGGAGGGCTCGGGTCCCGAAAGAGCCGGCCGCCCGGCCCATCCGCCCCGTCGCCTCGCGGACTGCCCCTCCGCGGCGCGGCTAGGCCCACGGCCCCAACCTACCGGCGCCGCCGCGGGGACCCAGGACGCGCCTCTGCGCCGCCTCCGCTGCTCCAACATGGCCGCCCGCTGCGCACCGGAAGTGCGCTGCACTTCCGCTTCCGGGGCCGGGCCCGCCCTAGTGACCCTTGACCCCTCGAGACCTCGTTTCCCCCAAAGTCTGGGAGCAGGGCCAGTGGGTACCAAGGAAGGCTTCCTGGAGGAGGTGGCGACAGGAAATGCTCTAAATCCATTCCGGACCTGTGCAAGATTCTGAGAAGCACAAATGCTCTGAGACTTGGTCCCAGGCACGACTGCACAGGAGCCCTCCCTGACATGTCAGGGCCCAACTGACATTCCCTCTGACGGGCCTGGTGGTGCAGAGACATGTGGGAGGGACTCCCTGCAAACTCCAAGCCATCCTCCAGGCTCTGGTCCTCCCACAGCCATGGACAAGGCCTGCCTCTGTCCTAAGCTCTTGACCAGAAGGAAAGAGGAATGCCTCTTGCCTGCCTGGGGGTGTTACAGAGGTACCTCCCCAAGGGCAGCAGGCCCTCCTCTCTTCCTGAGAATAAGGCTGGCATGTGGCGTGAAAGACTGGCATGCACATACATGCTGCCACCACCCCAAAGCTGGCCATGTCCAATCTGAGAGTCCTAGAATACCAGTGTACTTGCCTAGGAACATGTGCATGGTCGTGGTGGGAGAACCCTTGCCCAGCCCCAGCCCTGTCAATGGCAGGAAGTCTGCCTTCAGTCTTAACTCTGCCCAGAATCCTTATCCTTTTGCTTAGGAGACTGAGACCTCAGTCTTGCTACCCGTACCCTGGGGTCAGCAGAGAGGTGGTGCTTACAGGGGCCACTGCCCAAACAGCACCAGATGAGATGACACAGGTTGAAATTAACCTTTGGAGTCTAAGAGGTTGGACTCTGACCAAAGGCCCCCCTTAGGCCCCCTGCAAGTCCAGGTTGGGAGCCAGCATGGAAGCTCTAGTTTCATGGACGAGATAGTGGGGACATTTACACTTGAGTCAGAGCCTGAACTAGAAGGCAGAAATATTGCCACAACACTTGGACCCTGATATGTATAATGGTGCCATATTTGGTAGCTGGGGATAGGTGGAAGCCTGTGGGCAGTCACAAGAGGGTGAGTGGATGCTTCATTTAGGGACTTCTCTCCCTCCCTGTAGGACCCCAGGATCCTCAGGCTTGCTCTACATTTTCCTGCCTATATATAAGGGTCTGGGCACCCCTAAAGAGAAATACCCAACATACCCTAAGCCTTATCTAGTAACTCTGAGTTTCCCAGAGCCTCAGCACTGAGATCCTCAGTGCCTTCAAAGATAGCCAAGGTATCCAACAATAAATGCAAACTCTCCTGCTCCTCTGGGGTCAGTGCTTCTAGCCCCTCATCCTGTTAGAAAGAAGGGAAGTGTGGAGTCCTAAGGGCCAGGGTCTCCTGGTACAATCAGGAAGTCCCACCTTAGTATGTCCAGTCCCCAGCTGTGGGTGAGCCTTATCTCTGTCCCATCCATGGTTGAGGATTAGCTGCTAATCTCAGGACCAATCTAGCCTCATCTTCTGCCCCACTTGTCTTCCACAGCTTCTCCAAAGCCAGCAGTGTTGGTCTCCCATGTTTAGGTGGTGCCAGGACTGTGTAAACAGAAGCCAGTCCCATGAGGAGGTAGGGCCCAGCCTTCAGGGATGGCATAGTTTTTGGTGTGTCCTGGAAAAGCGAATCACTCTCTGGCGATGTCCAGCCCAGAGTTCAGTGCAAAATGGAGTAACAGGTAGGGCAGGTTCATCTCCAGGCTGTATCCTTTGCAGACATTAGAACTGGGATAGTAGGAGTCATGGAATCCTAACATCCTAGAGAGAAGCTGAGCCTTCTTCTGCTTCTTAGTGCTCAGTATGTCCCAGATGGAACTATGAGAGAATTCATCAGAGCAAAGTGTGTGACTTGACCTGGATTTTGGTGGATGCTGACCCTGTTGGCATAACTGGGATCAGAAAAGATGAGGTTGTAGAGACTACAGGGTAATCCCAGTATCCAGCCCTTGCTCTTCATTTGACATCTTTTACAGGCCTGAATAATGGGCCCTAGACCCATTTCCACCTGACCAGAGAAATCTTGTGGAGATCTAGTTGTGAGTGAGGCCAGTGGGCCTTGGAGGGATCACCCCAGGAGGGAGTCTGTGTACCAGGAGAAAAGCCAGGGCTGGATCTTGAGGAGCTGCTTCTTTGGGACAAGAGGAAGCACTGCCTGCAAAAGACTCTGAGAAGCACGACAATTTGGAGCAGAGGTCCCAAGGTCACAAGAAATGAAACTTTGAGGATGTCAACAAAATTTCAGTTGTTGCAAAGACTGTAGGGACCCATAGTATTAGCTATATGGTGTTCCATAGTCACATTGGCAAAAGCAATTTTGGAGAAGCAGTGGACATAGAGTAGCAGATATCAAGGTGAGTGGAGGGGAGGAAGGGGAGACTGGAGGGGCTTGGGGTACTGGGAGGTATATCAAAGTGGGAGACTTTTAAGTGCTTAATTGCCAGAGAGAGGAAAGGGCCTGGAAAGGGAATAGTGGGAAATGGGAGGGGTTTTGCAGAGTGATGTGAACACTCTGTGGAGGAAGGTACCAGTGGCCTAAGTGAAGAGCAAGTTAGGAGCAGAGTGGAGTGAGAAGATGGAAGCCAGGTTCTATAACTGGCCTTGGATCACCATTTCCATGGAGGCCTTCCAACTCCAATTGCCAGCCTGCAAAAGGGGCTCAGACTCTCTGATCATGAAGAACGCTCTGCTCACACTCAGGATTGGCTTCAGAAATCAGGCAAACCAAGGAGTTAATGCCCCCCAAGCTGCTCTCAATCCATGACTGTTGGAGATTTGAGAATGAATTCTTCAAGCAACCTTTGCTCTGGGAAGGAACCCAGCAAGATTGGCCCCAGTTGCCCACAGTGGTAACTTGCTTAATGACACAGCCTTAACTTAACTGGCTGCTTTCTCTTTTTGCCACTCCTCTGCTGGTGCTTCCTGGCTTCACTTCCCACATTAACTGTGTGTACTGATATCTTTGTCTCCAGATGTGCTTCTGAGGAAAATGAGACACACACTGTCCATGAAAGAGGGACAAGATAGTGGCAAGCACAGACAACCACAAGGATTTCTTCTAGGTGACCACTAACCTGCACAAATGGTCCGGCAGCTCACAGACTTAGCCAATACTCTGAATGCCCAGAAGATAGGCTGGGCCAGGGTCTGGGTTTGAAATAGATAGTCCTCTGTCACACCAACTTGCTCTCGCCTGGTCCCAGAGTTGGCTATAGACAGGCCTAGGACCCTGGATATGAACAGTTACAAAATGTCTTGGGTCCAGGAGTAGCCCAGGCCTCAGGCCCTACAGAGTGACTTGTCTGGGGAGGTCCCCTGGCCTCTGACTCTTGAAGCTCATTCCTTGCTCAGAGCTACCCTGCCTGCAAACTTCCCCCACCCAGGCCTGTGGAAGGGCCTGTCAAGCACCGAGGCCGGCACTGTCCGCTCCTCCATCCCCTGCTAGCCTCAATGTCCACCGTAAGACCTATTCTGCACCTTGCTGCGTTCCTGGGGAAGTGCGACCCAGCTGTCGCCCCCACCAGAGGCCCAAGCCACGCCCCAAGTGGCCTCCAGGGGGCGCCGCCGCAAAGCCAGTCTTTGGGCTCCCACAAGCTCGTTGCCGGTGGGCGGGCGCCCGCCCCTCAAGCCAGCTGGTTCTGCAGGCCCGCCCCCTGCCGCCACCCCCTACTCCTCACCCCCCACCACGCGGGTGCTCCTAGGCTGGGTCCCGCTCTGAGCGCTCCCCCACCATACACGTGTTGTGTTGCTCACTGCTGCCTCATTTCTCCCCTCGCCCAAGGTCGGACCCTAAATTCTGGGCAGGCCCAGCGTCCACATGTCCGTCTGTCTGTTTACAGGTTTGCCTGTGACTATGGGTCGACGCGCCCTGTTCCGGCCACGGCAGGTGCAGGGTTAAGGCAGGGGGAGATTTTCCCGAGTCGAGGGGGGGACGAGGGGCGGACCCGGTCCAGCCCCGCCCCGCGCCGAACCAAGCCGGAGCCCCGCCGGAGCCCCGCCGAAGCCTGGCCTCGGCCCCAGCCAGAGCCGGCACGGACCCGGAACGGCGGACCCCGCGCCCCGGCGGCGCCGGAGCCCCGGCCGGTGAGTCCCGCAGGAGCCGCGCTCAGGGGAAGTTTGGGGCGCGGGGCGCAGAGCCCTAAGTGCGTTCGCCTGGACCCGCCCCCCGCCTCCCGCGAGCTCGAAGTTTGGGGCCAGGAGGCCATCACGCCAAGGGTCCCAGGAGCGTGGCCCCCACGGGAAAGGAGAGGCTGAGGAACTTGGGGATCTGCTGTGCGGGTACTTGGAAGTCCAGCTGCTCATTCCTACTGGAAACGCCCTGGACTATAGGAGTCTAGAGTCATATGCTCATGGGATCCAAAAAACACCCCTCTCCCTACTTCTGGACACCAAGGAGACTGGCCTCTGGGAACCTGGCATGGGCAAACCCCTTAGACCCGAAGAGGGAATGTGGGACCCTGGCGTCCACCTCCTCCCCTCCCAGTCTCAAACGCGCTGATCTTGGCCTTTTGCTGCTGGGAATGGATGATCTCTATGGAATGGCCCCCAAAAGGGTTGTAAGTATACCCTGGAGTCTGATCCCTGGCTGCCCAGGGCACCCTGGAAGGCAGTAAGAGGCGGGTATAGTAGGACTCTATTCATGCAGAGCACCAGATGAGGATTGTCAAGAGGAAGAGAAGGGGGCCAGGGTGGAGTGTCCTATCCTGGTCAACTTACTACCCACCTAAGACCTAGATTTGAAGTGGGGAGGGATGTTGGGTGTTCTTAGGTGAGGGCAGGGTTTGGGAGGAGAATCCCTCATACCCCATGAGGAAGGGGAGAAGTTGCCGGAGTATCTGGGAATCCACCCTCTTTCCCACCCAGGAAGGCCTCTCAGTGGTGTGCTAGCCAGCAACGGTGGATCCTCCCTGTGCCTTGCCCACGACTGATTTTGCGCCAGTCCTGCCCTTAGCTACAGACTGCTCACCTGTACCCCGAGGGACTGGTTAGGGGCCCTGACCCTTTGTTTTCCCTCTCTCCTCCAGGTGAAGGCAAGGTCCCTGAACTGCTCAGACACTCCCTGTAGCCCTGGTAGAGTCAAGATGAGGCCCCATCATGCTCCTCAGTGAGGCCTGCAGCCTGAGCAGATAGTATGGCCTGCCACTGGAGGTGAACAGCATGGCTACAGGAGGTGGCCGGGCCTTTGCTTGGCAGGTGTTCCCACCCATGCCCACCTGCCGGGTGTATGGTACAGTGGCATACCAGGATGGGCACCTGCTAGTGCTGGGGGGCTGTGGCCGGGCTGGCCTGCCCCTGGACACTGCCGAGACACTGGATATGGCCTCACATACATGGCTTGCACTGGCACCCCTGCCCACTGCCCGGGCTGGTGCGGCTGCTGTGGTGCTGGGCAAGCAGGTGCTAGTGGTGGGCGGTGTGAATGAGGGTCAGAGCCCTGTAGCTGCCGTGGAGGCCTTCCTGGCTGATGAGGGCCGCTGGGAGCGTCGGGCCACCCTCCCTCAGGCAGCCATGGGGGTTGCAACTGTGGAGAGAGGTGAGTGGCCTTAAGGGAGTCCCTCAGGTGCCCAACACCCTCCATTCTTTTCTGACATGGTCCCTTACCCTCAGAAATTGGACAAGAGCTGTAAATTTTGTCTGAGTGCCCTGGACACAGCTATGACTCTTGTAAAGACCCCTTCCTACCTAGCTCTGAGCTGAGCTAGCAGCAGTCTTAACTGCCCTTTCCTGCTGTGAAGTGGGAGGCAGAGCCCAGGCTGGCCTCCAGCATGATGGGAGGCCCTAACCACCTCCCTGCCCATTCCTCTTCTCTAAGAGATAAGGAGGGATAGCCCAATGACTCTCAGGGTTATAAATAGTCTAGGGGAGGGAGAAGGGAGCAGGGCCTTGGCTCAGAGCCCAGTAAGTGCTTAGACTCCCTCCCCCCTCTTCCTTCCATGTACACATTTACCAGGGAGTCTGAGATGGCAAGGCCAAGCTGGCCTGGGGATAGTTGCCATGGAAGCCTTCAGCTGACTGACCCATTTCCCCAAGGCCCCCAGACATGCCCCCAGCTGACCTGGAGGGTGTAACAGGGCCAGAACTTACCCTATGAAAGGATGGAATACAGAGGTGCTGGCAGGGCTTCTGGGCAGCAGGCTTGCAGCCAGCACCTCCATCCTACAATCCTCAGCCCCTCTCCTAGCCCCCAGCTGATCCCCAGAGCTCCCTCCCTAGTCTGAATTCCATGCTTAACAGATCCCCATATGTCCCTCCCTGGCTTAAACCATCCTCCACCCTCCTTTCCCTAGGGGAGCCCCCACCTTGTGGCCTCCAGGTCTGACCACCAGTCCTGCTTAGATGCCAGACTTGGTTGCCATAGCATCTCCAGGGAGACAGAGATGGAGTATAATTAGATCATCTGCCTCCTGCTCTTCACTTTTAGGGGCCCTGGCCAGAGCAGGAATCCTAGCTCTCCCAGCCCCCACTCCAGGAAGGAAGGAGGGTTTCTCTGCTGCTTGGGAGGGGTACTACAAAAGTGTGGGTCCCTAGCCACCCCCAGGCCTGACCAGGGCAGCTTTCAGGATAGGGTGCCCTGGCAGGCTGAGGTACACTCTGAATCACTCTTTTCTATGCAGATGGTATGGTGTATGCCCTGGGGGGAATGGGCCCAGACACGGCCCCCCAGGCCCAAGTTCGGGTGTATGAGCCCCGACGGGACTGCTGGCTTTCGCTACCCTCCATGCCCACACCCTGCTACGGGGCTTCTACTTTCCTGCACGGGAACAAGATCTATGTCCTGGGTAAGGGCCTGGGGGATGTGGGAAAGAGGCTCGAAGTGCGGAAGCACCTATCCCCATAGGTTGGCTGGGATCAGGTTTAGCCTGAGATGGCAGGACAGGAGAAACTTTGAGTGAGCCAGGCTTGCTTGGAGGTTCTGACCTTTGGTGGCCCTCCTAGGGCTGGAAAACCAAACCCCAGTGCCTAAGGATTGGCAGGGTAGGTGATCCATGCTCTCGTGTGCACACAGCTGGGTATGGGTGGCTAAGCTGGGTGGTGGTGAAGGCTTAGCAACCTGGTGAAGGAGGAGCCTGCCAGGCCTCCCAGGCTTCTTCCCAGGTTGTTTCCCCAATTCCATTGGCAGGGGGCCGCCAGGGAAAGCTCCCAGTGACTGCTTTTGAGGCCTTTGATCTGGAGGCATGTACCTGGACCCGGCACCCAAGCCTGCCCAGCCGCCGGGCCTTTGCTGGCTGTGCCATGGCGGAAGGCAATGTCTTTAGCCTGGGTGGCCTGCAGCAGCCTGGGCCTCACAATTTCTACTCTCGCCCACACTTTGTCAACACTGTGGAGATGTTCGACCTGGAACATGGTGAGCAGTGGCTAGCCTGGGCTGTCCTCCCACTTCCCATGGGATGGAGGGGCACAGGGTGTGTTGTGGGGCTGGATCTGACCTCCCCTTTGTTGCAGGGTCCTGGACCAAGCTGCCCCGCAGCCTACGCATGAGGGATAAGAGAGCCGACTTTGTGGTTGGCTCCCTTGGGGGCCACATCATGGCCATCGGGGGCCTTGGTGAGTATTTCTGGGGAGCCCAATACAGGAAGGAATAACCCCAAGCAGGAACCATCACCTCTTGCCCTTCTTCAGGCACTCCAGGAATCAGGGCTTTGTGAGCTTCCCTTTCCAATCCGTTACACAGATCGGGTATAGTCTGCATAGCCTAAATCTTGGGGTATCCCTTAGCACCTGACTGATGGGCTCCGTACCAGCAAGGGCCTAGGAAACAGAAACAGGACAAGTGACCATTGAATGAATGGACAAAACAAATCTAAAGAAATGAACAAATGATGAATGGGGACAATGAGTAGCAAGGCACTGGTAGCCCATCTTGGGGTGATGCCTACTCGGCCATCTTTGGGCTTAGCAAGCATGAGTTGGAGCTCCTGCGGCCTGTGCCTTTTACAACTTCTGTCTCCTTCCTGCAGGAAACCAGCCATGCCCTCTGGGCTCTGTGGAGGGCTTCAGCCTTACCCGGCGACGCTGGGAGGCCCTACCCACCATGCCCACAGCCCGCTGTTCCTGTTCTAGTCTGCAGGCTGGGTCTCGGCTGTTTGTCATTGGGGGTGTGGCCCAGGGTCCCAGCCAAGCTGTGGAGGCTCTTTGTTTGCGTGATGGGGTGTGAATGCCTGATGGGATGTGTCAACTGGAGCAACACAGTGCCAGAGGCAAATATCTGTGGCTCCTTTTGCTGCTGAAGAAGCTCACTGTGGCTCTGTGGGATGAGGGAGGCACAGGGGCAGGCACTTGAGGCAAATGTCTCAAAGAGTGAGGGGACTTTGTCTTTAGTGCAGGACACATATGCTTATACCCACCTTTATCCCCATTCATTCATGGATCATGCCTAGCTCCACACTTGCTCTGGAACTACTGGGCCCTCTGTCCAACCGGAAAGTTGGAGGATTGGAGAGCTGGCCTCATGCCCCACAGGATTAGTGCCTACCTGGAGTTGACCAGGCTCACCCCCATGGCTGTTCCTGAGAAATCCTAGCTGTCAGTCTGCCTTGAAGGCCCCTGTGGCCCCAGGCAAGTTCAGAGAGGTCACGGGACACAGAGGAAATAGAGGAGTGGATATAGGGACCCTCCAGAGGACCTGGGGAATATTGGCTTTGGGCCCATTACACTGTTGACTGTGTGATCTTGAGCAAGTCATTTCACCTCTCTGTGCCTCAGCATCCTCATCTGTAAATGGGGATCTCTGAAACCTTCCTGCCCTACCTACCTCACAGGGCTGTTGTGAGGACCCAGGAAGTTCAGATGTGAAAGTAAAAGTGCTGCTAAAATGTGGTGTATGGCCCTCAGTGTGGACTCATGTGTTGCCCCTGTAGCTAGCTGCTTGCTCTCCTTCAGGGGCCTACACTCTCCCAGGGATGAGGGTCCAGAGTAGCCTTTTGGATCTGGCTTCTGCCCCCAAAGTGTTCTGGTGTTTCAGCCCCCACCTAACCTTAGCTTCTCTTTTGGTGATATGACTGCTGCCCTCTGCTGTCTTGGGGCTTAGAGGGCACTCAAAGGCAGCCAGAGAAGAGCTCAGAAAACTACAACAAAGCACCATGGGATCAGGATGAGTGAATACCAGATCTGTGTCATGCAGCATCTCCTCAAAGTCTTTGCTTACTTCCATAGGGAGGGGTGGTCTAGTGGGGGCTGTGGCCAGGGCAGTCCCCCACTGTCCAGCATTAGACAGAACTGCATGGCCTCCCACCAGACCGCTAGAGGCATGATAAATAGCCTCCTGGAGAAATCAAAGCTGCCAGTCTCCTCCTCCAGTCTTTGCTGCTCACTAGTAGGGCCCACTGACTCTGCTTTCCCTGCAGCCACAAGAGTGCAAGGGTCTCACATCTGGGTTTACTGCAGAAATGGATTTCGGGTCCCAGAACTGATCTGCTGCAGCCATGGTAACCCGTAACCTCCTGCAGGCTTTATCCCTTCTTGCTCAGTGCCAGGGTTCCCAGGGCAGCACCTCCCCTGCCCAGCACAGATGTGCCATGGGCCTTACTGCTCTGAAGCTTCTAAGACCACTTGGACTGCAAGCACAGACAGACCGCTGTGTCATCCGTCTTTGTTTAATGCTCTGGACCAGTTTAGACATTCAGAGACCCCAGCATGAAGGTAATGCTGCAGCAGCTTGGGTCTTGGGATCCCTGGGAGGTCAGGCAGTGTGTCGGTGACTGACCCCATGTTGTTGCCACAGTAGCCACCCCAGGATGGCTGGCAGAAGTTCTGCTGGTAGGTGGTGCTGGTACGGGGAGGCTGTATCTGCACAAAGTGGACAAGACGCTGAGGGAAGTCACTGACTCCTGGGCCTGACTGGAAATTGGCCTGGTAGGAGGATTCAAGAGGACGCTGCTGGCTCAACTCCAGCTCACAGGGTGCCCAGCGCAGGAAGGTGTGCCGTTGCCACAGGCGGTCCAGGTCCTTCCGCCTTCCGATTCCCTGTAGCAGGCAGTAGGGGCCCTCCTCAACAATATGGGCCCTTGGCCCACAGTCCTGGTACCAACCACCTCTTTGGTCCCTCCCCAACCCAAGCCTAGTTGGTGATGCTTGGCTCCCCTGGCCTGTACCCCAGCCTCTTGGGCCTGCCTCCCCAGCCATGCCTTATATTCCAGCATGAAGCCTCCAGAAAGTCAGTGACCCCTAGGATATTTGTGCATTGTCAGGCAAGCTAGTGAATGAAATCAAAGCAGAGGTACCACCTCTGTTTGGGGAATGGACTGTTTCCCAGATGAGAGAGGTTGCCAGGAGTCCTCCCTCCCCACAGTGTCTTATCCCCTCCACCCTACCTCAGCTTCAACCTAGGCTAGGGCCCTACCCACTCTCCTTTCTTCAGCACTCACTTTGTCGAAAGACGTACGGTTGTCATGCTTGGAGAAGAAGTGTCGCTGCACTGGCTCCTTTAAAGACAGAGAGAAAGAAGATGAATGGGGAAAAATGATGCTCACCTGCCCTTAAAGATCTTGCCTCAGAACCTATAATGGAGGGGAGGTGCCAGGAGCCACTACCCCTAAACTGCTAAACTTGCCAAAATCCTGAAAGAGCAGTTACAAATTAAGCAATGCCTCACTCCTAGGACGTCTCATGCTGGCATTTGCCTCCAAAGCAGAAGTCTCTTAGGGCTGCTGATTGAGGAAGGGATTGAGGCATCTTCTAAGATACCCGTCCATTTAGAGGGCAGTGGTTCAAGTTTCATGTCAGGGCCTTTAACTCTAGATTGTCCAGCACCAGGCTTTGGTTCTCTCCTCCCCTCTCTCCACATTTAGTCCTTCATCAACAACCCAAACTCTTGGCCCTAAGTTCCACCTGGAACTGCCATTTGTCTTTCTAGCTTGAGCTCTCTCCTGAACTCCAGACTCAACAGCCAACGGCCTACATATCTCCTTGTAAATGTCTTACAGGCATCTCCAAACACTTGACTGAGCTCTGGATCATTCCCCAATCCTACCTGTTCACAGCCTTCTCCAGGTCAGATGCTGGTAGATAGATCCTGCCAAATAGCTTGGAGTCCCCTTGATTCTTTTCTTTCACACCCTATATCCAATGTGTCAAAAAAAATCCTGTTGATTACTCCTTCAATATGTGCCTGGGATTGGTCCACTCCTCAACATGTCCCCTGCTTTCCCTGTTCCAAGAGCCACCTTCTTCTCTTGCTTGAATTATTGCAAGAGCTTCCTACCTGGTTCTCTGCTTCCAAACTTTCCCCTCCAGTTTATTATCCTCTTAGCAGGAATAATTCTTCTGATATGCAGATCAGATCACTTCCCTTGTTTGCTGAGAATCCACAATAGTTCCTCATGTTTATAAAAGCCAAAATCATCATAGTGGTCCATGAGACGCACACAATATTGATCTCTCCATTACCTGGAACCACCCTGGCATCCAGCTCCTCAAACACACCAGCAATTCCCACTTTGGGCCTTTGCACCACCTGTGCCTTCTGTCTGGGACTCTGCAGTCCTGCAGCTGGCTGTAGGACTCCCCCCTCACTTCCCTCTTAAAAGGGCTTCTTCGAGCACTGACACTAGCAGTGCCATCATCCCAATGCTGCATTTTTCACATGGCATACTGTGTGACTACATAGTATGATGTTGCTTAGTGTCTAAGGCTCCTGACTAGAACATAAGCTCCTTGTGGGCAAAGGTTATTATCTGTCTTGCTCACCTTTGTAACTCCAACACTGAGCCCAGTGCCTGAGAAAATACGTGTTTGCTGTTTAACTAATGAGTAGGGTTCAGAAAGTCCCCAGAGTATTTCCTTTGGCCCAGGTGGAGCCAGAGAACCATGCCCTATCCCCAGGGAGAGAAAGACCACCTCCCAGGCCCCTAGATCTCAATAGGAATCTTAGGAATCTCTCCCAGGACCATCCACCTTGCCTTTGTGCCTGGTGTCTGCCCCCAGAGTTCCCTGTCCCCAGCCATTCAGCTTCTCCTGCTGCAGACCTGAATGAAGTGTCTGATCTGATGAGGTCAGTCTTGGCTGGGTTAGGATATGTGCAATGGCTGACAACAGGTTCCTAGATAAAAGGCTGAAGCTAGCTCCATCCCAGATTCCTGAATGAGAATCTTCTGTGGTATGTCTTTGACAAGCTCCCCTATCAGTACCTCCTGCCTTAGACAGCTGGTGTTGGTTTCCAAATAGAATAAAAGCTCCATGAAGGTGGGAAGCCAGCCAGCCTTACCTTTCATTCCTCATAAAGCAAACTGACACGACAGGGATTAAAAACCCGGGGCCTTTTTAAAAAAAACATAGGAAAAAAAAATCTTCAGTACTTAGAACTAGGCAAAGAGTTCTTTGACTTGACACCAAAAACAAGAGCAATAAAAGAAAAAATGGATAAACTGGACCTCATCAAAAAATTTTAAAGTTCTGCTCTGTGAAAGTTTGTGTAAAGAAAATGAAAAGACAAGCTGCAGACCAGGAAAAAATATTTGCAAACCAAATATCCAATAAAGAAATAATTTCTAGACTATATGAAGAATTCTCACAACTCAACAGTAAAATAACAATCTAATTAGAAAATGGGCAAACAACATGAAGCCATTACACTGAAGAGGATATACATATGGCAAATAACACGTGAAAAAAATGTTTGCCACCATCATTAAACATTAGGGAAATGCAAATTAAAATCACAATGAGATATCATGACCTACTTATCAGAATGGCTAAAAACAGACAACATCAAATTTTGGGAGAATGCAGAGAAAACAGATCACTCATACTTTGCTGATGAGAATGTAAAATGGTACAATCATTCTAGAAAACCATTTGACAGTATCTTCTAAAAACTAAACATACAACTACCATATGATCTAGCAGTTGCACTCCTGGGCATTTATGCCAAAGAAATGAAAACTTATGTTCACCCAAAAACCTGTAGCAGATCTATTTGTGAGAGCCAAAAACTGGAATCAGCTCAGATATCTTTTAATAGGTGAGTGGTTACACAAACTGGTATATACATGCCATAAAATACTACTTAGCAATGAAGAGGAATGAGCCATGAACAACTGGGATGAATCTCTAGGAAATTATGCTGAGTAAGAAAAGCCAATTTCCAAAGATTGTATACTGTATCATTCCATTTGTATAACATTTTTGAAATGACAAAATTTTAGAAAGGGGCGATCCCTGGGTGGCTCAGCAGTTTGGCGCCTGCCTTCAGCCCAGGGCATGATCCTGGAGTCCCAGGATCGAGTTCCGTGTTGGGCTCCTTGTGTGGAGCCTGCTTCTCCCTCTGCCTGTCTCTCTCTCTGTGTGTGTCTCTCATGAGTGAATGAATATAATCTTCAAAAAGAAAATGCTTAGAAAGGGAGAAGAGGCTGGTGGTTGCCAAGGATTAGGGACAGAGAAAAGGTGAAGTAGCAGGAAGCTGGTGGGTATGGTCATAAAAAGGCACCACCAGGGATACTTGGCGATGTTGGCCAGTATCTTAACTGTGGTGATGGATACACAAACCTACATAGGCAATAAAATTTTATAGATCTTAATACACACACAAATGAGTATAAGTAAAACTAGAAATCTGAGATAAGTGGATTGCATTAATGTCAATGTCCTGGTTGCAATATTATTCTATAGAGTTTCAAAATGTTATTATTGGGGAAAACAGGGAAAAGTATATAAGGGATCTCTATTATTTCTCACAAGTTATGAATTTATAGTCCTTTCAATAAAAATTTCAATAATCCTAGGAGTCTGTAGCAACTTCCAATTGACTCCCAAATTTCTTCTCCAAATCTATGTTTTGCTAAAGAATTGTACATAGCCTTAGAATGTGGATGCCACTATTGTTGGAGGCAGTTCTGACTTCGAATACCCTCTCCCTCTCCCTCTCCCCCCCTCCCCCCCCTCTCTCTCTCTCATTATATATACCAACCTATGATACCACCTTTACCTGAGGCCCTCACATCCACTCCTTTGCATGTGCATTCTACTGAGTTCTCCTGTTTTGAGTAAGCTTTTTACCGTTAGAACCTCAACTGATGCTCAGTGCCCCCTCTTTGTCTCCACTAGAAGCAGTAGAGGGTCTGGGCCCTGCATTCTCTCCTGTTCTCTGGAAGCCTTTTTCTAGCCACTTCTGCCATCACTCCTTTCCAGTCCTCCTTGGCTATGTATGTGGGTGGGTACCTAGACACTTTATATTCTGCTTCCCTTACCAGTGAAGGCCTCCTGAGCCCCTTGCACTACAAGGCTGACTGTGAATTAGACAATAGGCTTTCATGACATCAAGGAATCTGAGCTTGAGAGCCATTGTTGGCAAAACTGAAGGCTTACTTTCTGGGTTCTGGAAGCTCTCTCCCCATGGCCACCTACCCAAACTGGGCCCTGACCCTCCTTTCACCTAAAAGGAGCATTGAGAAAGACTGTTCAGCTTGGTACTAGCTCTTTTCCACCCTTTCTGTAGGGGGAAGACCTGCCATTTCAGGGAAGAGTGGCCAGGCCACATGCATTTCCTGAGGATAAGCTGGCTTCAGGTGTCAGTCCAGCAGTGGTAATTCTGGAGATTATGCTTTTGGGGTCCAAAAGCAGCAGAAACTGGTCCAGCCACCCCAGCTGCCCCCAGGGCTGCCTTGTACCTGACATCGCTGCAGGAACACTGCTGGAGGCTGGGGCTTGGCTGCAAGGCGGTATTCTTGAGCACTTTCACTCTTGAATTGGCCTCTGTAGTGCCCATAGAAGCCAGTGTTGTGCTATAATAAGGCAGGCATGAGGATGAATCCCTCCCAAACCCTGACCCTGAGTCTCAGACCCACAGGGTCCCCAGGCCAGAAGCCTCTCCTGGGAGCTACTGACAGAATAAAAAGAATCTGAGGAGAAGGATACCTGTCTCCTATCCATCATTAGAACAGCTGGCCTTGGCTATGCTGGCCCACCTGGGAGAGCTATGTGTGTGTAGAGAAAGGGTATATGTTTTTTCTTTTCTCTTCTTTCCTTTATTCCATCCTTCCCCCTCTTTCTTTCATTAGGCCTTAACATAAGCTAGGGAGACAACAGTGAAAGGACAGAAATATCCTGGCCCTTGTGAACTTTCTGGTGAGGGAATCAGACACAACAAATAGAGTCAGGGAAGAAATAACCTGATGACTAGATCAAGAATGACAGGGAACAGGGATAGCCCCTCATGACAATGAGGGTGGGACCTGAACATGAAGAGTCAGCTGTGTGAGGAATAGCAGAGCATTCTATGTGATGGGAACCGAAAGAGCTAAGGTTCCAAGGCCAGAAAGAGAGAGAGATGTTGGAAGAACAGAAAAGAACTAAAATCCTTATGACTAAAGTATTATGAGCAAACTAGTCAGGTTAAGGTCAGGGAGGGGCAGGGCCCACACAAGTTTAAGAATACGGATTCTCTTCTAAGACCAAAGGGAGGCTTTTTGGCAGGGGAGGGGACCAGACAGGTTCTGAGTTGGGATTATTCAGAGCACTGAGAAGTTTTGATAACAGGGCCACAGGCTGGTGATAGGATCCTTCCCTGGAGGTTGAATGAATCCATCTTAGGCATCTATTGACAAAGACATGAATACCTGTTTGCCACATACTTTGCTATTCTGGGGCAAGAAGGATACCCTCTGAAACTGGAGCACCTAAGCAAGAAATAAGCTTTTCAAAAGAAGTACTTTACCAATAATAGTACCTTCTGGAGAAAATTTCAGAGACAGGGACTGGCAAAAGACAGAAATGAGCATTTATCAGGGTTCTAAGAAGGAGCTGGACTGTGTGGATATCATTAGATGGAGACCTTGTGGACAATAGCCATGTCTAGCCGGGGAATTCCTAGAGCTGAACTCTTTGTCCTGAGAGTTCCCTGGAAAGGAAGGGTGTATCTGGTCCTCCATGATTATAGCCCAGTGAAGAAAGATGCTGTCCCAAGTTCAGCCTCTGGCCATCATAGCAGGTTCCTATATATGACTGAGAAGCCTTTTATCTTCTCATCCCACTGAGGGTTTGGGTTGCCCAGCTTGTCTGACCATCTTTCTACTATCTGTTGAATGTGCTCTCTATTCAGTTTAGTTCAATATTATTTACTAGGCTGCCTTTACTGCATTCCAAGCGAGGGACTAGGCATGGGATATAGAGGTGGAAAACAGTCTTTGCTCTCAAGATGTTCTGAGTATAGAGAGCAGTCAAACTTCAGAAGTTTAGGGGGACCAAGCAAAGAATTGGGAATAAATGGGGTGGCTAGAAGACTAGGAGGTTCAGCTGGTTAGCATGAGACCAGGACCCATGGAAAAAGACATGGCATCAGAAAGACTAAGTAGGCTCCAGGGGTGATCTTAGAATGGCAGAGGGGGCATGGGTCCTCCACCAGCCTGGATGCTGGATGAAATCTTTCTTACTAAATTTGTTCTCATGATTCATTCAAATTTCAGGTAGTACCCCAGAGCCAGGAGCCAAGATTAAATGTAAAGTGCACTCTTACCCAGGAGCCTACTAATGCACTTTGCATCCTTCCAGGAAGTAAAAAAGCAAACCTTCCTCTTGTCTTTTTGAGGCTATGTCTGAGGTAAGAGACTCTCAGTGGTCAACTTCTTGTTGCTTAGTGACAAAGGGAGTTGTGACTGCATAATGCTGCTGAGATTGTTAAGGCAGTGCCCAGCCTGCTACTCCTTTGTGCTTCCTGCTTGTTTTTACTTCGAGAGAAATCTGCTCCTTAGCATTAACAAATAAAAACATACTCCACAGTGGAGTGTAATGAACTCACAGTCAATGAAATATCAAAGAACATTTTATTTTATTATTTTTAAAAAAGATTTTATTTATTTATTCATGAGAGACACAGAGATAGAGGCAGAGACACAAGCAGAGAGAGAAGCAGGCTCCTTGCAGGGAACCCAATGTGTGACTCGATCCCGGGACTCCAGGATCACCCCCTGGGCTGAAGGCACGCGCTCAACAGCTGAGCCACCCAGGCGTCCCTTAAGAACATTTTAGAGGCAAATCCTGCATTTTAAAATTTTGTAACCAGGCAGCCGGGGTGGCTCAGCGATTGAGCAGTGCCTTCAACCCAGTGCCTGATCCTGGAGACCTGGGATCGAGTCCCGTGTCGGGCTCCCTGCATGGAGCCTGCTTCTGTCTCTGCCTCTCTCTCTCTCTGTCTGTGTCTCTCATGAATAAAAAAAAAAAAAAAAAATCTTAAAAAAAAAAGCATCCCACAGAGTCAGAAGAAATGTTAAAAGGGTTGATGGTTCTTAAGATAAAATTGCTGCTTCAGGGGATGCCTGGGTGGCTCAGTGGTTGAGTGCCTGCCTTTGGCTCAGGGCGTGATCCTAGAGTCCTGGGAGTCGAGTCCCACATTGGGTTCCCTGCAAGGAGCCTGCTTCTCCCTCTGCCCGTGTCTCTGCCTCTGTGTGTGTGTGTATCTCATGAATAAATAAAATCTTAAAAAAAATAAAGGATAAAATTGCTGCTTCAGAATAAGGTTCTGTCAACCGTTCTCTTAGGAGTCTGGCATCTGAAAACACTGGTTAGGTGACTGTTACCAGAGCCCCAGTAAAGAAGGAGAGCATAACAGAGGAGCAAAAGAAAGAGTACGAAAACATTTGACATTGTGGTTCCATTCTAAGCTACCCTTAGGCAGATTATTGTCTATCATTTGTAACACAGGGACACGAACAGTTCACCCCTTCCACTAACCAAAAGAAACTGGCAATAAGCCTCTAAAAATGTACCAATAAAAAGCTTAACAGCAGAAAACACTCAGCCCATGCTGGTGTCACTGATACAACCCTACGAGCCAGAAAACCAGCCCTCCTATAGTTACCCTGAAGATCCACACTAACATGTATTCATAGGTACAAAAAGGTCCTTGCAGCATCTGCATAAGGGAAAAACTAAGCAGCCTGAATGTTTTACCAATAGGGCAATAGGAAAGATACTTGAATTTACAGACATACATATCTTTTTTTTAAAGATCTTATTTATTTATGAGACACACACACACACACACACACACACAGAGGCAGAGACACAGGCAGAGGGAGAAGCAGGCTCCATGCAGGGATCCTGATCCGGGACTCAATCCCTGGTCCCCAGGATCACACCCTGGGCCAAAGACGGCACTAAACTGCTGAGCCACCCGGGCTGCCTTGAATCTACACACACATATATATCTTAAAGATGGTGAGTCAAAAAAGTCAAATTGTAGAAAGATGCACAAAGTGTACCATTTATAAACAATGCTATATATTGTTTATGGATATAAACATATGAACTAAAAGTATAAAACATGCATAGAAACGATAAACATCAAATTCAGAAAAGTCACCTGGGGAATGGTTTCAGGAAGGCAGGGCAGAGCATCAACTCTATCTGTAATGTTTTTATCTTTCAAAGCTTTATTTAGGTACAACTAACACAACAAACTGCACATATTAAGTGTGTAATTTGACACATTTTGTCCTATGTATATATGTATGAATCATAGCCATAATCAAGGTAGTAAACGTTTCCATCAACACCAAGTTTCCTTCTGCCCATTGGTAATCCTCCTCTATGGCACTCATTGGTCTCAAGAAACCACTGGTTGCCTTTCTGTCACTAAGCATTACTTTGCATTTTCTAGAATTTTGTATAAATGGAATCATTCAATATGTATTCTTTGTGTCTGATTTCTTCCATGCAGCATAATTATCTTGTGTTTTATCCATGTCACTGTGCCTATCAATCACTCATTCCTTTTTATGGCTAAGTAACTTTCCATTGTATGGATATACAAAGCTCTCCATATACATATATGTGCACATATATATTTTTTAAATACACTTTTTATTTTTTTAAGATTTTATTTACTCATGAGAGACAGAGAGAGAGAGAGGCAGAGACACAGGCAGAGGGAGAAGAAGGCTCCATGCAGGGAGCCCGACGTGGGAGTCGAACCCAGGTCTCCAGGATCTCACGTCTCCAGGATTCCGCACTGGGCTGAAGGTGGTGCTAAACCGCTAAGCCACCCAGGCTGCCCTAAATATACTTTTTAAAGCAATTTTAGGTTCACAGCAAACTTGAGTGGAAGGTACAGTAATTTCTCATATACCCTCTGCCCCCTATGTGTATAACCTCTTCTATTACCAATATCTTCCACTGGAATAGCACATTTGTTAATAATTGCTGAACCTAAATTGATGCATCATTATCCGCCAAAGTCCACAGTTTACCTCGAGTTCACTCTTGCAGTTGTATATTTTATGGGTTTGGATAAATGTATACTGCAATTACATGTATGCACCATTATAGTATCATAGAGAATAGTTTTACTGCCTTAAAAATCCTCTGTGCTCCACCTATACATCTCTCCCTCCCCCCTAACCAATGGCAACTACTAATCTTTTTACTGTCTCTGTAATTTTCCCTTTTCCACAATGTCATATGGTTGAAATACTATGGTATATAGCCTTTTCAGATTGGCTTCTTTCACTTAGTAAAACATATTGAAGTTTTCTTCTATGTCTTTTCCTAGCTTGATAACTCATTTCTTTTTAGTGCTTAATAATATTCTATTGTCTGTGGGCACCTAGGGGGCTCAGTCAGTTAAGCGTCTGCCTTTGGCTTGGGTCATGGCCCCAGGGTTCTGGGTTCAAGCCCTGCATTGGGCTCCCTGCTCAGTGGGGAGCCTGCTCTCTCCCTCTCCCTCTGCCTACAGCTCCCCCTGCTTGTTGTGCTTTCTCTGTTAAATGAATAAATAAAATTTTAAGAAAAATATTCCATTGTCTGGATGTACCATGGTTTATTTACTCTTTCACCTATTGAAAATAATTTCTTGGTTGCTTTTTAAGATTTGGCAATTATGAAATAAAGCTGCTATAAATATCCATGTGTAGGTTTTTGTGTGGACATAAGTTTTCAGGCCCTTTTTTTTTTAAGGATTTTATTAGAGACACAGAGAGGGGGCGGGGGGCAGAGACACAGACAGGGAGCCCAACGCAAGGCTCAATCCCGAGGCTCCAGGATCACGCCCTGGGCCAAAGGCAGTGCTAAACCGCTGAGCCACCCAGGCTGCCCAAGTTTTCAGGTCTTTTGCGTAAATACTAAAGAGCATGATTGCTGGATCGTATAATAAGAGTATGTTTAGTTTTGTAAGAAACTGCCAAACCATACTTCCAAGTATGCCGAACAATACTTCCAAGTATTTAGTATACTAAATACTACCATTTAGTATTCCCATTAACAATGAATAAGAGTTCCCTGTTGCTCCACATCCTCACCTGCATCTGTGTTATCTGTGTTCTGAATTTTATTTTTATTTTTATTTTTTTTAAAGTTTATTTTTTTTTTACTTTTTTTTTTTTATTTATGATAGTCACAGAGAGAGTGAGAGAGGCAGAGACACAGGCAGAGGGAGAAGCAGGCTCCATGCACTGGGAGCCCGACGTGGGATTCGATCCCGGGTCTCCAGGATCGTGCCCTGGGCCAAAGGCAGGCGCCAAACTGCTGCGCCACCCAGGGATCCCTGTGTTCTGAATTTTAGCCATTCTCCTGTGTAGTGGTAGCTCATTGTTGTGTTATTTTAATTTACATTTCCCTAATAACATATAATGTTGGGCATCTTTTCATATGCTAATATGCCATCTGTATATCTTTTTTGGTGCAATGTTTTAAATTCTGTGTTGGCCCATTTATTTGTTTTTAGAAGGGGGAGGGGCAGAGGGAGGGAGAATCTTAAGCAGGCTCCATCCGCACCACAGAGCCTGACACAAGGCTTGATCTCACAACCCAGAGATCATGACCTGAGTCGTAATCAAGAGTAAGACACTTAATCCACTGAGTCTCCTCAGGCACTCCTGGCCCATTTTTAAATCAGGTTGTGTTCTTATTGTTGAGCTTTTTTATTTATTCATGAGACACACAGGGAGAGGCGGAGACATAGGCAGAGGGAGAAGCAGGATCCCTGTGGGGAGCCTGATATGGGACTCGATCCCCGAACCGGGATCACGACTTGAGCCAAAGGCAGACATTCAACCGCTGAGCCACCCAGGAGCCCCCTTATTGTTGAGCTTTAAGGGTTCTTTATATATTTTGGTTCTTTATCAGATGTCTTGAATCCACACACTAATCAGGTTTTTGTCCCTACTACACCACTAGTCAAGGTCACCAATAATTCTCACTCTTCATTTTCCCTGACCTATCAGCAGCATTTGACATTGATAAAGTAGGCAGTCAGACATGAGCTGGAGGCAAAGTCTGTAATAGGTGATACATTAGAAGCCTGAAGATAAAACATCCTAACTTTGTGGCTTTTAACATCCTGGTCTTTACTGCTCCCAAAACCCAGGGGTTGACATACCAAGAGCCACAGGTGCAGAACATGTGCTCTCCTCTTCAACTTCTGCCCCAGGGTGGCTCCCTAGGTTCCTTATATTTACATTGTGGTTTTGACCGCCAGTGGGGCAAGATGGCTGTGGCAGTTCCACCAAGAATCTTGTAGAGTCAAAAACTCCCTCACCTAACCAGTAGGAGGAGTCCCTCAGATGATTGGAAACAACTTCTGTCAGAGACCATCCTAGCTATGACCCATAAACTATGCAAACATAAAAAGACACCTCTAACCCTGGTACTGTTCCCATCTCTGGGCCTACCAACTCTCCAATCTTAATAAACTTTTTTTTAAAGATTATTTATTTATTTATTTATTTATTTATTTATTTATTTATTTATTTATTCATGAGAGACACAGAGAGAGGCAGAGACATAGGCAGAGGGAGAAGCAGGCTCCATGCAGGGATTCCGACATGGGACTCCATCCCAGGTCTCCAGGATCAGGCCCTGAGCCAAAGGTGGACACTCAACCACTGAGCCACCCAGGCGTCCCCAATCTTAATAAACTTAATAAACTGCTTCGTGTTTGCTACCTTCCTTCCGGCTTTATTCGAGTGGGGATCCTCATGTTAAGTCTTTCGCAGGGAATCCAAGAACCAAGACCTCCATTCATACCTCCATTCTCCCACTAGTAACAACATAGCTGGTCTCCTCCTCCTCTTTGAAGGACGGTCCAGGAGGCTTCCACAGCACCTCTTTCTCTTGGATGTCCTCCGCTGTCTCTGACCACACCTGTTTGGGGTCTTTTGCTGCTTTTTCCTTATGTAGGTCTCTAAAGTTGTATGTCCTGGGGCTCAATATAATCTGTTTTCCACTTATTTCTTTCATTGGCGATCTCTGTTTCATTGCTTTAAAAGCCATCAGAGGCAGTTACACAGACCCCTCCTCCCTACAACCTCTACCCCTACTCATCCTACCCTCAGATTGTCCCAGTATCCAGCAGACCGGGTACCTTGGATCATTTCTTGCCTTTTTCTCTCTACAGGTTGCCAGTTCTGTGTCCCCTTTTGACCACAGCGCCTCTCCTCCCAGTGGCTCCCCCTACCCAGCTCTTGTTAGGACCACTTGGCCCCAGCCATGCCCTAGCCCCTGGGCACTCAATCTACTCCACATGCAGCAATGTGTCAGGTAACTCCTGGGGAGGGGGTGTGGGTGGCAGCAGTCCGACTGTAGAGGTGCGCGGGTACATCTTGCGAGGTACACGTGGGCCATGCAGCGGTATGCAGTGAAAGGTAGATCACCTAGCCTGGGCAATGAACCTGCTAGTAAAACCGTTAACACCGTTAGAACCGTTAGAACAATTAAAGCCATTGTCTGGAGCCGCAGAGGGGGCGGGCCTTAACCGTCATTGGTCAGATCGGGCCCTAGGGGAGGGATCACGCATGCTCAGGCAACCTCCGTCGAACTAGCCTTGAGGCGACGTCAGAGACGCTCCAGGTGGGGCGCGAGCCGGGCCTCTGAGGTGGAGGCGAGAGGGGCTTGTCAGAGAGGGCGGGGAAGAGAGGTGTGGTGAAGAGTGTGTGTGTGGGGGGGGGGGGGGGGGGGGCGAACGTTGAGCGGAGGGGGGGCAGGGCTTTGGGGAAACATGCGAGGCTTTACGAGTAAGTTCGGGGTTTCCGGGGACCTCAAAGGAGTTTCTTGGGACGCTAGTTTGTCCGTTTGATCCTTGTCCTGGAGTTCCTAGCCATTCATTCTTTCCCTGTGACGAAAGACCACTTTGGGTCTTCAAGGAGACTTTACGTTCTGTGGTCCTCCTTGGAGAGCTGTTTTTGTCCGATTCGCGAGGTTCCACAGCCTCTCATCCCGAGTCCGGGACTAAGAGACACAAGGAAGAGAACTGATCCAGAAAGTCAGGGTGAACAGAAACCCGGGGAAACCGACTGGGATTTGCCTTTTTTATTATTATGCAATATCCCTTAGAGACCTCTGGAAAGGACGATGAAATGATTTAGTCTAGAAGCCCAGAGCATGTCTCCTGGTTGAAAAGGGACTGAAGGTGAAAGGATGGCTGCAGGAGGCTGAGGCGGGCCTCCTTGACGGCCCGCGGGGCCGCAAAGTCTGAGGGGACAGACTTTTTTCTCAGCGACCGAGTGGAGCAAAGGGGCAAGTGGAGGACCGCACACATGCTTCAGGATTCTCAGTATTGAAGACGGACGGGGTCAGATGGGGGTGAGGGGTGCTCAGTGAGACCCTTAGGATATTCTCTTCAGCCCACATATTCCTCCCCTACCTACAACTTTGCAAGAGCCCTTCCTATGGAGACAGTCGCAATCCCTGCATGCACTTAACCCTTTCTTCTGCCTTTTGTTTTAAGATTTATTTGGGGGTGGGGTGAACAGAGGGAGAGAATCCCCAGGTTTCCTGCTGAGCGCGGAGGCTGCAAGCCTAGATCCCAGGACCCATGAGATCACCATCCCAGCTCAGACCAAGAATCCCACGCTCAATGACTGAGCCACCCAGGAGCCCCTAAACCTTTCCTCTACTTTATGCTTCTAATAGGACTGGAGGGCAAGAGGAGAATCCTGCCCTTGAAATGTATGTATTTCAGTTTTCATTTACCTAGTGTGACTACCTCTTCATTACTAGTATACGAGCATCTGCAAGGACAGCTTTAGGCAGATGGGATTTCTGCCCTCTGGGAATTTATTTATTTATAAGATTTTATATATATATATATATATATATATAAGATTTATGTCTTATTTATAAGATTTATTTATTTATTCATGAGAGATAGAGAGGCAAAGACCTAGGCAGAGGGAGAAGCAGGCTCCATGCAGGGAGCCCAATGCAGGACTTGCATCCCAGGACTCCAGGATCATGCCCTGAGCCAAAGGCAGACGCTCAACTGCTGAGCCACCCAGGTGTCCCTGCCCTCTGGGAATTTAAAAGCCTATAATAGCATGCCAATGGATAGGTGCATAAAGAACAGATAAACCTGAGGCTGAGTAGGTCAAGCCCCATGTGATCCTTACACACATAGTCAAGGGTGCAACTATGAAATTCTTTTCAACGTTTATGAAACCTCTTAAGAGTAAGTTAGGTTTGGAATCTCCAATGTAGTTATTCTAAACCCCAAGCCACATACTGCATAAATTATTCTCCTCAGCATAAACGGAAATGGAAGATAGAGAATTTATCATCTAGATGTAATAATAGTCCTAATTAATGGTCTTGTAGTGACGTTTATAAGATTCTAAATCTAGACTAGAAGGAAGAATTTTCACATGTGTGGATGGAAGAAAAAACAGATTATCAAAGAAATAAGAGTCAGGAATCCTATATTTACTTCAGTTCTCCTTTGTTAAAATATGTAATAAGTCTGTGGTGATCTAGGGGTTTGAAATGTAATAATTTAAAACAAATCCTTTATCTTTTTAAATTTGTGGATAATTAGAAAGTTTTGCTCCATTGTCCTAATTTAGTTCTTATTAAAAAAAAGATTTATTAGAGAGCACAAGTAAGGGGGAGGAACAGAGGGAAAAGGAATAGCAGACTCCCTGCTGAGCAAAGAGATGGGGGCATGGGGTCAGATCCTGGGACCCCATGATCATGACCTGAACCCAAGGCAGACACTTAACTGACTGAGCCACCCAGGCACTCCTAGTTCTTATTTTTTAAAAAACTCATCTACAGTAAATATTTTCTGGACACCATTATGTGCCAGGCACAATTCTAGATACTGAGGATATATAGTATGGAACAGAACACACAAAAATTCCTATCATCAAAGAGCTTAACATTACATTGTAGTAGGCTTGGGTGTGCATACTGAAATAGACAAAACAAGATAAATTAATAAAATATATAGTGTATTAGAATAATGAATGATACGCCGTGGAGAAAAAGTGAGGGAGAAATAGTAATTATTGAGGCATTACAATTTTGAATAGATAATTTGAGAGAACACCTGGAGGTGGTGGAGGTGGTTTGGCCTATTATGCTGATATCTGAGGGAAGAGTGAACCAAGTGGAGGAAACAGTATGGGAAAGGGACCTGAAGCTGGTTGTGTGCCCAGCAAGGGAGAACAACACTGGGGAGCCCTGCAAGAGGTATGGAATGGAGTGTGAACTTTGGCTTGTATTTGAGTAGCATAGGAGCAGTGGAGAGTTTGAACAAAGGGATAATATGATCTGATTTAAGGTTGGAAGAACTTTGCTTCAAAAAGAAGAATCTATAAAGTTGAAACAAGACTAAAATCAGGGAGACCAGTTAGGAGGCCATTCGGTAATCCAAACTGGTGGCAGTAGAGTAGTGTCTGATTTAGCAAATAAAAATACAGGACACTGAGTTAAATTTGAATTTCAGGTAAATAATAGTTTTTTAGTACAAGTGTGTCCTGTGCAGTATTTGGGAAGTTCAAATTTGACGGGGTATATATTTTATCTGGTAAACCTCTAGTAGAAGGAATGAGAAATGGACAGATCCTGGATAAGATTTGAAAGAGTTAGTGAGAAGAGAGTCAAAGAGGACTCATAGATTTTGGCTCAAGCAACTAGAAAGATGGAGTTGCCATTAACTGCAATAGGAAAACTATAGGTGGAGAATATTTGGGGGAAAGATGATGATCTTGGTTTTGGACATGTTGAGTTTGAGGTGCATATTTAGTCACCAAGTAGAGCTGTCAGGTCAGCAGTTGAATATAGATGTGGGAAGTTCAGGAGAGGGGTCTGGGCTGGAGGTAACAAATCTGGGAAATGTCAGCTAATACAAGGTATTTATCCATTCACTTAATGACTTTTTATTGTGATAAAGTTCAGACTTATAGAAGTAGAAATCATTGGATAAATGAACTCTAATGTAGGTACTTATCACCTAGCTTCAATAAATAACCTGGGGCAGTCTAAACCCCTCTCTAGGTCCTCCAATCTACATTGTTTTAAAGCAAACCACAAACATTAGGTTATTTTAAATATTTATTTATTTTAGAGAGAGAGAGAGCACAAGCGGGAGGGGCAGAGAAAGAGGGAGAGAGAATCTCAAGCAGGCTCCATGCTGAGCATGGAGTCCAACTAGAGACTTGATTTCACAATCCATGAGATCATGACCTGAGCTGAAACCAAGAGTCAGGTGCTTAACCAACTGAGCCATGCTGGCACCCCTTGCCTTTTGTGCTTTAAAAGAATATAGTAGGGTGGCCCTGGCGGCTCAGTGGTTTAGCGCTGCCTTTGGCCCAGGGCGTGATCCTAGAGACCTGGAATCGAGTTCCACGTCAGGCTCCCTGCATGAAGCCTGCTTCTCCTACCTGTGTCTCTGTCTCTGTCTCTGTCTCTGTCTCTCTCTCTCTCATGAATAAATAAAATTTAAAAAAATAATAAAAGAATATAGTCATTTAAACTATAGAATTAATCACTCTAAATTTGGTATTTACTTTCCTCTGGTTCTATTTAAATACTTGTATTTTCTGCAAACTGGTCCTTAGATCTAGAAGCTTAACCAGCTTAAGTCTCTATTTTTGGCAAGCATACTTACTTCTTTAGTAATGCTTGGATCTCAACAAGAAGTACTTACCAGGGCTGGTGTCTTTGTAGTGGAAAGATCAATTAAGAGGTTTTGGTATTTTCAGCATTACCTATTCATTATGCAGTTTCTTATCAGCCTTCCACCTCATGGTTGTAGCAGCCACTGATGATCATTGCTTAGATCCTTTATTTTCATTGGACCTCCAAAATGGTGATAATCTAATTCTACCATTCATTCTGTGTTTATTAGCTGGAATACTTCTATAAAGAAGAACTTTCTCACATTTATGTGGGTTACTTTGAGGTACATCTATTCTAGAAAGGTAAGATAAATGATTGATTCTTTTGTCTACCCTACCGGTTTTCAGAATAATAAGTTGGTTGCCTATCCTCCAAAGTGACTGATGAAGGTCTTTAAAAATATAATTATAAATTTAACAGAGGAAGCCCCTTTAGGATCTTCAGTTATCTTTGGGCCTAGTAGTTTTTGATAACTTCCTTATTCTCTGGGACAACAAGATGTCCCAGACTCATCTTGCACATTTCCTGTCCCAGACCTGGTTCCTTTTAGTGGTGAATAATATTTAGATCAAAAACTGAGTATGCAGGGATCCCTGGGTGGCACAGCGGTTTAGCGCCTGCCTTTGGCCCAGGGCGTGATCCTGGAAACCCAGGATCGAATCCCACGTCGGGCTCCCGGTGCATGGAGCCAGCTTCTCCCTCTGCCTGTGTCTCTGCCTCTCTCTCTCTCTCTCTGTGTGACTATCATAAATAAATAAAAATTAAAAAAAAAAACTGAGTATGCATTATTGGGTCATATGTCTTGGCCGTTTTCTATAAGACATTTATGTGAAACAAAATGTTCTATTTTTTTAAAGATTATTTATTTATTTATTCATGAGAGACACAGAGAAGAGAGAGAGGCAGAGACACAGACAGAGGGAGAAGTAGGCTCCATGCAGGGAGCCTGATGTGGGACTCAATCCCGGGACTTCAGGATCACACCCTGAGCTGAAGGCGGCGCTAAACTGCTGAGCCACCCAGGCTGCCCAAAATGTTCTATATTTTTAAATATTTTATTTATTTATTTATTTATTTATTTGAGAGAGAAACAGAAATAGTGAGAATGTGAGCAAGGAGGAGAGGGAGAAGCAGGCTCCCCACTGAGCAGGGAGCTCACTGTGAGGCTTCATCCTAGGACCCTGGGATCATGACCTGAGCAGAAAACAGACTCAATTGACTGAGCCACCCAGGTGCTCTTTTTAAAAAAGATTTTATTTATGAGAGAGAGAGAGAGAGAGAGAGAACAAAAGCATGCAGGGTGGGGGCAGGAAAAAGGCAGAAGGAGAAGAAGCAGACTCCCCTGCTGGGCAGGGAGCCAGAGGTAGAACTCAATCCCTGGACCCAGATATCATGACCTGAGCTGAAGGCAGACACTTAACCATCTGAGCCACCGAGGCACCCTACAAAATGTTCTTTTTTTTTTTTTTTTTGTAAGAGAGAATCTTTTTTTTTCTATATTTTATTTATTTATTCATGAGAGACAGAGAGAGAGAGAGGCAGAAACACAGGCAGAGGTTGAAGCAGGCTCCATGCAGGGAGCCCGATGTGGGACTTGATCCCGGGACTCCAGGATCACACCCTGGGCCAAAGGCAGGCGCTAAACCGTTGAGCCACCCAGGGATCCCCCAAATGTTCTTTTTAAAAATTTCATGAAGTCAGGCAGCCTGAGTGGCTCAGTCAGTTAAGCGTCCAGCTCTTGATTTCAGCTCAAGTAATGATCTTGCAGTTGTGGGATTGAGCCCCACATTGGGCTCAGTGTGAAGTTGCTTCAGATTGTCACTCCACTCATTCTCTCAAAAAAAATAAATCTTTTTAAAAAATATATGTAGTCAGATTTGTTGGTGTCTTCTCTTATTACTTCCGGATTTTGAGTCAAAGTTTTCCCCATGTCCAGGCTATAGAGGAGTTTGTGAGCTTCCCCTCCAGTGCTTTTATGGTTTCATTTTTATATTCATTTTTATATTATCTCTGATCCATTTGGATATTTTGTAGTGTGTGGTAAAAGGAGTAGATCCAATCCTAATCTTTTTCTCGTATAGCTTCATTTCTCATATATTCAGTTATCCCAACTCTACTTCTTTTTTTTTTTTTAAAGATGTTATGTGCAAGAGAGAGAGAGTGAGAGAGAGAGCTGTAGGAGGAGATGAGGAAGAGGGACAAGGAGACTCTGTGCTGAGCGCAGAGTCCCACTCAGGGATTATTCTCAGGACCCTGAGATCATGACCTGAACCAAAACCAAGAGTTAGATGCTTAATTGACTGAGCTACCCAGGCACCTCTCAACTCTACTTTTTAAAATCTCTTTCTCCGGACGCCTGAGTGGTTCAGTGGTTGAGTGTCTGCCTGCTGCTCAGGGCATGATCCTGGTCTGGGAACCAGTCCTGAATTGGGCTCCCTGCGAGGAGCCTGCTTCTCCCTCTGTCTATGTCTCTGCCTCTCTCTGTGTGTCTCTCATGAATAAATAAATAAAATCTTGAAAAAAATAAAATGTCTTTCTCTCCTCAATATATTTGAGATGCTATCTTTTTTTTTGAGATGCTATCTTTATCATATATTCATATACATTTCCATTTTCAGATCTATTGTTATAAATCTATTCTACTGGCTTGTCTATCTAATCATGTACCAATATACATCTGTAAAATTGTAGAAGATTTATAATATATTTTTAATACCTAGTAGGGCTGGCTTTCCCCCCAACCCCCATTCCCCCCCCCCCCCTTTTTCTCTTTCCTCTTTTTCTATTTCAGGATTTTCCTGGCTGGTCTTGTTTGTTTCCCCAAATGAGCATTATAATCAGTTTTCTCCCTGTAGAAAAAAAAATTATGGTATTTTTTTGGGACATTTCAAAGTTATAAATTAACCTGGATAGATTTAACATCTTTGTGATGTTGATTCTTTCTATCGATGAACATGATGTATCTTTCTCATTATTCGGGAATGGTGTATAGTTTTCTTTACATAGCTTTTGGACATTTCTTGTTAAATTTTTGCCTAGGTTTATTTTCAGCTTTAATGAGATATAATTGATAAATAAAATTGTAGTATATTTAAAAGGTACATCATGATGATTTGACATTGTGAAAGGATCTCCCCCATCTGGTTAATTATTACATTCATCACCTCTTATTATCACTTATTTGTTTATGTATGTATGCATGGATTTATTTATTTGGTAAAATTATTTAAGTTCTACTCTCTTAGCAAATTCCAATTATACAATACAGTGTTATCAGCTATACTCACCCCACTATTATGTTTTCAGACCTTATTTATCTTAAACTTAAAAGTTTATATCCTTTTACCAATGTTTCCCTATTTCCCCTACCCTCTAGCCCTTAGCAACTACTTTTCTGCTCTGTTTCTATGAGTTTGACTTTTTTTTTTTTAAGTTCACATGTAACTGAAACCATGCAGTATTAGTCTTCTCTGGCTTATTCACTTAGCATAATGCCCTTACGTTCCCTCTATGGTGTCACAAATAGCAGAATTTCTTTCTTATGGCTGAATAATATTCCTCTCTACGTGTGTGTATTATCGTTATCTATTCATCCACTGTGAGACAGTTTGTTTCACATATTCCTCTCTGCGTGTGTGTATTATCGTTATCTATTCATCCACTGTGAGACAGTTTGTTTCCATATCAGACAGAAGTCTCTTCGATATCCTATTTTCATATCCTTTGGAGATATACCCAGAAATAGGATTGCTGGATTATATATAGTAGTTCTATTTTTAATTTCTTGAAGAAACTCCATACTTTTTTATAGTGGCTGCACCAATTTACATTACCACCAACAATGCACAAAGTTTCCTTTCTCCTCATCTTCACCAATATTTATCTCTTATTATTTTGATGATGGCCATCCTGATAAATGTGAGAGGATATCTCAGTGTGGTTTTGATTTGCATTTCCCTGATGAATAGAGATGTTGAGCACTGTTTCATGTACCTTGGGCCATTTGTGTGTCTGCTTTGGAAAAATATCTATTCAGTTCCTCTATTTGTTAATTGATTTGTTTGGGGTTTTTTTTCTATGAGTTGTACAAGTTCATTATTTCGGATATTAACACTTTATTAGATATATGGTTTGTAAATGTTTTCTCCTATTCCACAGGTTGCCCTTTTCACTTTGTTGATGGTTTCCTTTGTTGTGTAGAAGCTTTTCAGTTTGGTGTGGTCTCACTTGTTTATTTTTTGCTTTTGTTGCTTTTGCTTCTTGTGTCAAGTCCAAAAAATCATTGCCAAGACTGATGTCAAGTAGCCTATCCCCTATGTTTTCCTCTAAGAATTTAACTATTTCAGGTCTTTTTTTTTTATTTCAGGTCTTAAACTTAAGTTTTTAATCCATTTTGAGTTGATTTTGTATGTAATCTAAGACAGAGGTCCAGTTTCATTCTTTGGTATGCGGCTGTCCAGTTTTCCGAGCACTATTTATTAAAGAGACTGTCCTTTCCCCATTTTATATTCTTGGCTCTTTTGTCATAAATTAATGAATCATATATACATGGGTTATTTTCTGGGCAATCTTTTCTTTTCCATTGATCTGTGGGTCAAGTTGTTTTATTATTGAGTTTTTTTTAAAGATTTTATTTAATTATTCATGGTAGTCACACAGAGAGAGACAGAGAGGCAGAGTCACAGGCAGAGGGAGAAGCAGGCTCCATGCACCGGTAGCCCGACGTGGGATTCGATCCTGGGTCTCCAGGATCGCGCCCTGGGCCAAAGGCAGGCGACAAACCGCTGCGCCACTCAGGGATCCCTATTATTGAGTTTTTAAGAGTTCTTTGTATATTTGGGACACTTGGCTAGCTCAGTCAGTGGAACATATTACTCTTAATCTAGGAGTCATGAGTTTTAGCCCCATATTGGGTATAGAGATTAGAGATTACTTAAAAACATAATTTTTTAAAAAGGGTCTCTTTTTTTTTTGTATATTATGGATACTTTGGATGCCTTTTTCTCTTTTAAAAGATTTTATTTATTTATTCATGAAAGACACCAAGAGAGAGAGGCAGAGACATAGGCAGAGGGAGAAGCAGGCTCCATGCAGGAAGCCCAATGTAGGACTTGATCCCAGGACTCCAGGATCATGCCCTGAGCCAAAGGCAGACACTCAACTGCTGAGCCACCCAGGCGTCCCAGGATGCCTTTTTTTTTTTTTTTTAAGATTTTATTTATTTATTCATGAGAGACAAACACAGAGAGAGAGAGACAGAGACAGAGACAGAGAAAGAGAGACAGAGACACAGGCAGAGGGAGAAGCAGGTTCCATGCAGAGAGCCCGATGTGGGACTCGATTCCGGGTCTCCAGGATCAGGCCCTGGGCTAAAGGCAGCGCTAAACCGCTGAGCCAACCGAGCTGCCCTCAGGATGCCTCTTTCAGATATCTTTTGCAAATATTTTCTCCTAGTATGTGGCTTATCTTCTCACTTTTTTGACAGTGTTTTTCACAAAGCAGAAGTTTTTATTTTATTTTATTTTATTTTATTTTATTTTATTTTATTTATTTATTTTTTAGAGCAGAAGTTTTTTTTTTTTTAATTTTTATTTATTTTATGATAGTCACACACAGAGATAGAGAGAGGCAAGGCAGAGACACAGGCAGAGGGAGAAGCAGGCTCCATGCACCGGGAGCCCGACGCGGGATTCGATCCCGGGTCTCCAGGATCGCGCCCTGGGCCAAAGGCAGGCGCTAAACCGCTGCGCCACCCAGGGATCCCTAGAGCAGAAGTTTTTAATTCTAGGGAATTCCAGCTTATTAATTCTTTAATTTATGAATCATGTCTTTGGCATTGTAGTTACAAAGTCTTTGTCAAGTGTAGGAGTCATCTAGATTTTCTATGTTCTTTTCTTTTTTCATTTTTTTAAAAGATTTATTTATTCACAAGAGACACAGAGAGAGAGAGGCAGAGACACAGGTGGAGGGAGAAGCAGGCTCCATGCAGGGAGCCTGATGTGGGACTTGATCCCAGGACTCCAGGATCACACCCTGGGCCAAAGGCAGGCTCTAAACTGCTGAGCCACCCAGGGACCCCCCTCCTATGTTATTTTCTTTTTTTTAAATTTTTTTTTAATTTTTATTTATTTATGATAGTCACAGAGAGATAGAGAGAGAGAGAGAGGCAGAGACACAGGCAGAGGGAGAAGCAGGTTCCATGCACCGGGAGCCTGACGTGGGATTCGATCCCGGGTCTCCAGGATTGAGCCCTGGGCCAAAGGCAAGCGCCAAACCGCTGCGCCACCCAGGGATCCCCCTATGTTATTTTCTAAGAGTTTTTTATAGCTTTGCATTTTACATTTAGGTTTGTATCATACGTTTTGAGTTAATTTTTTGTTAAGGTATAAACTCTGTGTCTAGATTTTCTTTGCATGTGGATATCCAGATATTCCAGCACAATTTGTTCAAAAGACTATGTTTTCTTTGTTTTATTGACTTTGCTCCTTTATCAAAGATCAGTTGACTATATTTGAGTGAGTCTATTTCTCGGCACTCTGTTCTGTTCCATTGATCTATTATTAGTCTGTTCCTTTACAAATACCTCTCTCTCTCTCTCTCTCTTTTAAGATTTATTTATTTATTTATTTATTTATTTATTTATTTATTTATTTATTTATTTATTTATGAGAGACACAGAGAGAAAGAGGCAAAGACATAGGCAGAGGGAGAAGCAGGCTCCTAACAGGGAGCCTGATGTGGGACTTGATCTCAGATCCTGGGATCAGGCCCTGAGCCGAAGGCGGATATTCAACTGCTGAGCCACCCAGGCGTCCCAATACCACACTCTTTTGATTAATGTAGCTTTATAGTAAATCTTCAAGTTGGGTAGTGTCAATCCTCTGACTTTGCTTTCCTCCTTCAGTATTGTGTTGGCTATTCTGGATCTTTTGTCTCTCCATATAAACTCTAGAATCAGTTTGTCAATATCTACAAAATATCTTGCTCAAATTTCTTTGAGATTGCATTGAATATATAGATCAAGTTGGAAAGAACTGAAATCTTGACAATATTGAATCTTCTTATCCATGAACATGAGTATCTCTCTACTTATTTAGTTCTTCTTTGGTATCTTTCATCAGAATTTTATAGTTTTCTTCATATAGATCTTACACATATTTTGTTAGATTTATACTTCAGTATTTGGGGGTTCTAATATAAATGGTATTGTGTTTTTAATTTCAAATTCCATTTGTTCATTGCTGGTATATAGGAAAGTGATTGACTTTTGTATGGGAATCATTTTCTGATACCCTCAATGGTAATATAACCTGATAAATATGAATGTTCCGTGAGATCAGGGAGACAAAATTTAGAAATTGGGTTTGTTTCATAAAATCCAGGCTCTATGATCATAATAATGAACCATATTGTGCAGTGTATCAGGTTGGAAATGAGCAGAGTTGGAAATAAGAGGTATGGGAAAGCACTTTTGCCCAAAGCATTCACTCTTCATCAAGCTTTTTTTTTTTTTTTCCCATCAAGCTTCTTATTGCCCAAATTCCACAGCACAGTTGGCATTCCAGTATCCTATGATCTGTAAAGAACTAGTCCTCTTGGGAGAGGTTATAGTTTAAGTCATTCATTGTATCAGGCAGTGAAAAATAGTTTATTGGTCTTTTCCTAAAAGCAGATTATTAACAGGTTGGCAAGAGAAAAGGACAAGAGAGTAGAAGATGGAATTCAAATTTACTGTCTCGCAGATGACTGAGATCTCCCTGGTATTAAGAAGGAAGGGATTTGTATGCAATTTAATAGCAGAAAATAGGGGCACCTGGGTGCCTGTGGTTGAGTGTCTGCCTTCCACTCAGGTCATCCCAGGATCAAGTCCTGCATCAGGCTCTCTGCAGGGCGTCTGCTTCTCCCTCTGCTTATGCTTCTGTCTCTCTCTGTGTATCTCATGAATGAATGAATGAATGAATGAATGAATGAATGAATGAATAAAATCTTAAAAAGATAATAGCAGAAAATATCTATCTTTTCTTTTTAAAAGGATTTTATTTTTAAGTAATCTGTACACCCAACATGGGGATCAAACTCATAACCTTCAAGATCAAGAGTCACATGTTCCACTCACTGAGCCAGCCAGGTGCTTCGAAAATACCTTTTTCTGACCCATACTTAATGGGAGTTTTCACCAAATGGATGGAAATATAGTTGCTGAAATGTCTTCATCTACATATAATAGTCACCAGTAAAGTGATTTTAAAGATTTTATTTAATTGTTCATGAGAGACACACAGAGAGAGAGGCAGAGACATATAGTTGGAGGGAGAAGGTGGCTCCCTGCAGGGAGTCGATGTGGGACTCAATCCCAGGACCCCGGGATCATGCCCTGAGCTGAAGGTAGATGCTCAACCACCACTGAGTCACTCAGGCATCCTATAATCTTTGGGGGAAAGTTATACTACCTTAACTTTTTTTTTTTTAAGAAGGAGGTTTCCTTTTTTTTTTTTAATTTTATTTATTTATTCATGAGAGAGAGGCAGAGACACAGACAGAGGGAGAAGCAGGCTCCATGCAGGGAGCCCGACGTGGGACTTGATCCCGGGTCTCCAGGATCATGTCCTGGGCTGAAGGCAGCACTAAACCGCTGAGCCACCCGGGCTGCCCACTATCTTAACTTTTTATTTTTTATTTTTTATTTTATTTTATTTTTTTTATCTTAACTTTTTAAATTAATATCCCTCTCTTTCTAATAGGGTAACCATAAGAAATGAATTTTAATGTCTGGAATATCAAAGAAATGCTCAGTATTCCTTCTGGCTCTGGGTAAGTTTTCTGGTTTATACTCTGATACTGAGGATTTTTTTTTAAAGATTTTACTTATTTATTTGAGAGACAGAACGAGAACAGGGTGAGGGGCAGAGGAAGAAGCAGACTCCCTGGTGAGCAGGGAGTCCCATGTGGGGCTTGATCCCAGGACCCTGGGATCATGACCTGACCCCAAGGCAGATGCTTAACTGAGCCACCCAGGCGCCCCTGATACTGAAGATCCTATATTGATTTTGTATAAAAAGTCTCCCCTTCTTATTAGTTAATTAGTAATAGAGTTATTTCATATAGCTTCTTCCCCTTTTCTTCCCTTCCTTTCACTGCTCTCCCATACTTGTCTTTTTTCTTTTGCTTATTTTCTGATTATAAAAGCAATGTCAATTCAGCTATGTGTGTTAATTGAGCAATGGTTCTGTGTCCAGCACTGGGCCTAGAGACTATGAGGCCTGTGAGAATTAGACATGGAGCGATTGATATTGAAACATCAAGGAGCAAAATTAAGACCATGTTCAGATATGTATTTATTCAGTTGTATAGTACAATGGTAGGTACTGTGGACTTAAGAGCCACTTAAGAGCCACTCCAGCTACTGACAAGGCTCACTGAGATATTGCCCCTTCTACTACTCCACTGAAGTATTTACATTTGTGTCTGCCAGCCATGCAGTGGGCCTGCCATTGCTAACGTGGTAGATGTGCCCCAGAAGCAGTATATATTTAAGAGATTTCTAATTGCTTTTGGTATGTTTTATTATTGGATAGTTTATTTCCTTCCTAACATCTTCCTGAAGACAGTTATTAATTCAACAAAAACCTAGAGCACTGTTCTTTTTATTTCTCAAAAAGAAAAAAAAATGCTTACAGTTGATACAAGTAGGGAAAATGTCTTTGTTAAATTCCAAATCAGAACTTTAAGATATAAATCCTACATAATTTCTATAAGCTCACAGTTTTTTTTTCCAGCTCAGCTAATTATTCTCTTTGATCTAAGAGGGTAGTCACAGAGAGCTATTAAAGCTATTTTGAGCAATGATTATGCAACCTATATTATATGTGTGCAGCCCATTACTTTAGCTAATCTTAGAAAATGGTTTTGTCAGTGAAATAATTGCTCTTTCCTGTGTTTGAGCTATTAGAAATTTTTAAAATATTTTATTTATTTATTCATGAGTGACACAGGGAGATAGAGAGGCAGAGACAGGCAGAGGGAGAAGCAAGCTCCATGCAGGGAGCCAGACGTGGGACTCTATCCCGGGTCTCCAGGATCACGCCTTGGGCTGAAGGTGACGCTAAACCCAGGCTGCCCGAACTATTAGAATTTTTGTCTTATATTAATATATGATGGTTCCTTTGGCTTAGAATATGTACGTATATGCTATCTAATTACTTTAGATTTGGCTTATTTATTTATTGGAAAGGGAGGAAAGAGAGACAGAGGGTAGGGGGAGGGGCCTAGGGAGAGGAGAAAGAATCAAGAATTTTAAGTGGGCTCCATGCCCAGCACAAAGCCCAATGTGGGACTCAATCTCACAACTCTGAAATTAGACCTGAGCCGAAATCAAGAGTTGAATGCTTAACCAACTGAGCTACCTAGGAGCCCCTAGATTTAGCTTTTTTAAAAAGGAATTTGTGATTTGTGTTTGTGTGTTTTAATGAAAAGTATGTTTTTTTTCAGGTTACACAATAGCATTAAGTAACACAAATTGTTATTGAGATGTCTTACAAATAAAAACTTGATCATATTTTACTTGTCTACCTGCTTATGTGCTGTGTCTGTAAAAGGCTTAATACACTGTGTTCAAGTGTCACTGTGTCATTATCAATATCACTCTCTTTTATATTAGAAGTTTAAAGGCTGGCATAGAAATCTATGGGAATCTAGAAGTCCACAGCTGGAAGTGCTTAATTAAAGTAAGCAAGAATAAGACACTAAAGGTGTGAAAGGGAACACCACTTTGTTTCAAAAACAATTTTTAATGAATCCTCCTGTGTACAAATCTGAGTTGATCATATTCTTCAGTCTGGATAAGACTGATATTAGTCTGCTAGCTGCCATCACAAAGTATCCTAAACTGGATGGCTTCAACAATAGAAATTTATTTTTTCAGTTCTGGAGATTAGAAGTCCTAGAACCATATGTCAGCTAGAAAATTTCTGGTGAGGGCTCCCTTCCTGGCTTGCATACAATTGTCTTCTCTCTGTCCCTTCACATGGAAGAGAAAGAAAGAGGAGGACAAACTCTCCCATCATGAAAGCCTCACCCTCGTGACCTTGTCTAACCCTAATTACCTCCCAAAGGCCCCATTTCTAAATATTATCACATTAGAGATTAGGACTTCAACATAAGAATTTTGGGAGAACACAAACATTTAGTCTGTAACTAAGCTGTCTTGTGTTTTTTGTATTATGACTCCTACTCTCCCTGTAATCCTGCTTCCTTCCTTCCTTGTAGGCACATTCTGGAGAGTTAATGAGAGTTCTAATTTACCTTCTATATACTCAGTTCCATACTTGTTTGGTGTGGTATGATGTAGATTTAAAAGGTTACATAAATGATATGTGATAGAGTTCATTCAATTTTTACTTTTTTTCTTCACTCAAAATGACATTTTGGAGACTTATCATGTGGTTATATGTAAATCTAGTTTATTGCTTCTGACTAATGCATCAGTTATATGCATACACCATATTTTATTTTTATCCATTCCCTTAGTGATTAACAGATTCAACTTTCTTTTTTAGAGAGAGAGAGTATGTGTGAAAGAATGGAGTGGGGAGGAAGGGCAGAGGGAGAAGGAGAGAGAATCCCAAGCAGGCTCCACTCCCAGCACAGAGCCCTATGTAGGGCTTGATCCCATGACCCTGAGGGCATGACTTGAGCTGAAATCAAGAGTTGGATGCCCAACCAACTGAGCCACCCAGGTTCCCCCAGATTCAATGTTCTTTTAATCTCTAAAAATTTCAGGAACTTCCCTGAAGGGTGTTATAGCTCACAGTTCTATTTTACTAGGAATAATGGTGTCATTCCTTAATGTTTGAATTTCTATCTGATTGTTCTCCAGTAATCAAAATGTCTGGCATTCAGAATTTGTGGGGTTTTTTTTATAGGTAGTATTGGCAGTGTGCAGGGGACTAGGAGGTCAATGAATATCTGTGAATTATGATTTCATTCGTTCAGAATGTTTGTTCACTTGATATACTTCTCTTTTCTTGCTTAATTTCAGGACCACTAAGTCATCTAGCTGGAATAATAATCAGACTGATCACTCTAGTCTCAGTGATTCTCAGTTCCTCTTTGGATCACAGTTCTGTCCAGAAAGTTCAGAGACTCTGTCAGCACCCTTGGACTTTGGTGTCCACTTGAGACATCCAAAACAGTCACAACCGAATTCTCTGGACGTGAGTCTCATTTCTACAATTTCTCTGCACATATTTCATAGTCAATATGGAGATAGGCTATAAAGAAGAATTATTCTGTTGGATTATATTTTAGAATTTACATCTTTAAGGATTACTCTCCTAAAAAAAAAAAAAAGGATTACTCTCCTAAATGGATTTGTACTTGATTGGTGATTCAGTAATCTGACAGATTTGGTAGTCTGAAATAGAAAAAATATATATGCTGCAGAATATTGCCAGTACCTTGGCCCTCAGGGAGAGCCAAATATTGCATGACATTTTCTAAGACATACTATTGTTTGTGAAAATTTCATAAGAAACAAGGGCTTTAGAAAAATAGGAATAAAGTAACATAAATTTTATTTTAAATGAACATTTTTCTAAGAAACTTTAAGTACTTTGTGGATTTTAGCCTACTATGCTACATTATCTCTGTACTATGTATCTGTACTATGCTACATTATGTAGCTACTATGCTACATATCTATGCTATCCATTATCTTGGAGAAGGACATAAGGATTCTGAGGACTTAGTTAATGAATAAGGGCCAGAGCCAATAATAGAGTCTCCTGAGTTCTCAATTTTTTGAGACCAGCCTGTCTTCTTTTGTGTGTCAGAAATATTTTTATATATTTATTTATTATGGTCTAAAACTAGATTTAACTCTGTATACAAACTTACCTGCATCAAATAGAGATTCCATGGATAAGATTAGGCCAGTGCTTTAAGATAGTAGGGTATACTCTCAGATAAGTATTTCAATACAAAAATTGGTCCCCAGTGATATGAAGGAGGAAAGGTACTCCCTGAATGTTTCAGAGTAAGTTTTGCTTTAGAATGCAAGCAATAACTCACTGCATGCCAGCAGCCTACTATCCAGTCCATGTCAAACTTATCAAGAAGTCTAGTTCAACTAGTAATTGAATTAAACTTATTAATATATGAACTTTAACATATCATCTCAGAGGGGCAGCCTGGGTGGCTCAGCAGTTTAGCGCTACCTTCGGCCCAGGGCCTAGTCCTGGAGACCCGGGGTCAAGTCCCACGTCTGGCTCCCTGCATGGAGCCTGTTTCTCCCTTGGCCTGTGTCTCTGCCTCTCTCTCTCTCTCTCTCTCTCTGTGTCTCTCATGAATAAATAAATAAAATCTTAAAAAAATATATCCTCTCAGAGACAGTATAAATAATTCTGTTATTGTCTTCAAATCTGTGCAACTGATTTTAAGCCATTTTAGCTGATATTTTATTTTTATTTTTATTTTTATTTTTATTATTTTTATTTTTATTTAAGTAGGCCCCACATCTAACGTGGGGCTTGAACTCATGACCCTGAGGTTAAGAGTCACGTGCTCTACTGACTGAGTCAGCCAGGTACCCTGATTAGCTGATATTTTAAATATCTCTGGGCTGGTAAGGCAGAAACCTTATTAATAAAAAGAGTTGCTTTAATGTAATTTTTTTATTTATATAAATTAAAAAGGAAATACTACATGCCATGTTGTTTGTTTGTTTGTTTGTTTGAAGATTTATTCATTTATTCATGAGACACACAGAGAGAGAAGCAGAGACACAGGCAGAGGGAGAAGCAGGCTCCATGCAGGGAGCCTGATGTGAGACTCGATCCTGAATCCCAGGATCAGGCCCTGAGCTGAAGGCAGACGCTCAACCGCTGAGCCACTCAGGCATCCCAACCATGTTGTTGTTTGTTTTTTTTTTTTTTCCATGTTGTTTTTAATATTATGGTTTGCACTTAAATGTGACTCTACATTGTGTAGAAAATACTGAATGCTATAAATATTTTCATGTATGAAATGCTATGATTTTTTTTCATTTAACAGAGTGAGCCTAGTATTTTCACAAAGTACCAGACAAAACCCCAGCTGTTTGGAGGAGATACACAAGATAGAGGTTTATTTCCTCTTCCTTTGTCAGTTGGAAAATCAAAAGGCCTTTTGGAACAGTTTGAAGAGAAAAAGAAAAGGGCAAAAGACAAATGTGACAGGTATGCAAACCATTCAAGTAGATGAGACATCTCATCTTTTCTCAGGGAAACAGAAAATGGAACAGTTAAATAATTCTATTTCAGCATGATAACACTCTTGCTGTTATAGCTCATCTAATAGTTACTCCTTATTTGCTTATTTGTCAGTGTGGCTTGTGGCAAATTTGACTATGACTGCCACAGTTCTGGCCCTCTGAAAAGGAAGCTACGGGACTTCTTAGAGAAATACAATATTCAAGTAATGTTATGTTTATTTTCCCTAAAATTCTGCCCTTTAATTTGTTGTTTTTTCAGATCATCAGAGTTAGGAAATTAGATAACAGTTGCTTTAGCATTAAGAATATAGCACATGAATTATTTTTTTTTTAATATGTAATGGTTCCCAAATTTGAGTGTCATTCTTGCACAGGGGCCATGCTAATCTCTTTGTAGTTCCAATTTTAGTATATGTGCTGCTGAAGTGAGCACAGCACATGAATTCTTTAAAAAGCTGATTCAGGCTATCCAGGCTGATTTCCTCACTTTGAAATGTTGGTGGTTTTTGTTGTTGTTGTTTATTCATTTATTTGAGGGAGAACAAGAGAGCATGGATGAGTAGGCGGGAGGGGCAGAGGGAGAGGGACAAGCTCCCTGCTCATCAGGGAGCCCTGCGTGGGCTCAGTCCCAGCCCCAGTCCCAGGACCCTGAGATCATGACCCTAGCCAAAGGCAGATGCTTAACCAACTGAGCCATGCAGGCACCCCAAAATGTTGGGGGTTTTTGTTTTAAAGATTTTATTTATTTATTTATGAGAGATAGAGAGAGGCAGAGACATAGGCAGAGGAAGAAGCAGGCTCCTTGCAAGGAGAGCCCGATGTGGGACTCTATCCCCGGTCCCAGGATCATGCCCTGAGCCGAAGACAGACGCTCAACCGCTGAGCCACCCAGGCGTCCCTGTTGGGTTTTTTTTTTAAGATTTTATTTTTAAGTAATCTCTATACCAACGTGAGGCTCCAGCCCCAAACGCTGAGATCAAGAGTCACGTGCTCCACTGACTGAGCCAGCCAGGTGCCCCAAAATGTTGGTAGTTTTTAAGGTATACCCCAAATTTTATACATAGTCTTATTTGTTTTATATTTATTCATTTACCTTAGCAAATACATGAGATAAATTGGGGCTCCTCTATTAATTTATAAATAAGTAATTTGAAGTCAATTAGGAAATTAAGTTGCTTATTTCTTGGTAGTAAATTATCAGAGAACATCTTTAGGTATCATGGAATTCATAACACTCAAGCAGAGATATACTTTATTATTTCTGTGACAGTGAAGATCTATCACTTAGTGTCACCAGTAGTACTTTCCTGTTGAAAGAGCCAGAATTCCTTTAAGAATTCTTTTTTTTTTTTTTTTAGATTTTATTTATTTATTTATAAGAGACAGAGAGAGAGAGGCAGAGACACAGGCAGAGGGAGAAGCAGGCTCCATGCAGGGAGCCTGACGCGGGACTCAAGCCCAGGACCCCAGGATCATGACCTGAGCTGAAGGTGGCACTAAACCGCTGAGCCACCCAGGCATCCCTCTCTCAATATTTTCTTCTTTGTTTCCTTTTGCTATCTCTCCCTATATCATTTCCTTCTCTCTTTTTTTTTCTAGTGAAATTAGTTTCTATTAACAGTCATTATTAACTAGATAGCAAAAACTATATAGCACTTATTTTTTTATAGCACTTAAATAGAACAAATAATTGAGGACTCTGAAGAATCTCTCCCCATTAAAGAAAATTTCAAGCTCAAGATATTGACTTATAGGCAAAAAAAATCATAATTTTAATACATTCTGGCAAAAATGAAACCCAACATTTTATTTTATATTATCATTTTTAAAGATTTTATTTGTTGGGCAGCCCAGGTGGCTCAGCGGTTTAGCACCGCCTTCGCCTTCAACCCGTGTGTGATACCGGAGACCCAGAATCAAGTCCCATGTCAGGCTCCCTGCATGGAGCCTGCTTTTCTCCCTCTGCCTGTGTCTCTGCCTCTCTCTGTACCTCTTTCTCTCTCTCTCAAATAAATAAAATCCTTTAAAAAGTGTGGGAAGGAATGAGAAATTTTTAAATGAGAGAGAGAAAGCATAATGCTGTAAATTTGGAAGTAAGAAAGTGCTAAGACTTAGTACAGGGTTCAAACATAAGAGATACTATAAGACATAGATTTGCATATTGTGCTTTGAAAGTATATATTTTCCCAAACTATTTTTTTAAGATTTATTTTATTTATTCATGAGAGACACAGAGAGAAGCAGAGACATAGGCAGAGGGAGAAGCAGGCTCCCTGCAGGGAGCCCGATGTGGGACTCCATCCAGAAACTCTGGGATCATGACCTGAGCCGAAAGGCAGATGCTCAACCACTGAGCTACCAGGTGTCCCTTTCCCAAACTTATAAGGAGTGTGTATGAGGGATAGATATCTGAAAAGAAGCCTAATAAGTTAGTTCACATTGCGTTTGTTATGACTCTTTTGGTAGTAAATAGAAACCTCAAAGTAACTTTGACAAAACAGAATATATTAGCTCATTTAACCAACCTGGGAAGGACAGAGAATAAAATGAAATCAGTATCTTTTTCTGTGCTTCTCTCTCCATCTATAGTATTCTTTCCTATTAGAGACCAGCTTCCTACCAACACAGAGAGTCTCTTTTCCCTTACTTTGAATTTGAAAAATCCCAGTGGAAGGATATGGTAGGTTTGCTTAGGTCATAGGGATGAAAGGAGGGAGGTGTAATTGGAAGTCCTCACCAGAACCACTTTTTATTTTTTAAAGATTTTATGTATTTATTCATGAGAGACACAGAAAGAGAGGCAGAGACACAGGCAGAGGGAGGAGAGGCAGGCTCCATGCAAGAAGCCCCATGTGGGATTCGATCCCAGGAATTCAGGATGACACCCTGAGCCAAAGGCAGACGCTCAACCACTGAGCCACCAGGTGTCTCCGAACCACTTTTTGGTATAAAAAAGAAGCAGTTCCCCACTAGAGGAGGATTCTGGGTACACCAAACAATGCATGTCCATTACTCAGATTATTGGGGGGTTTTGTCTGTAGTATTTTATTTTATTTTATTTTTTAAATTTTTATTTATTTATGATAGTCACACACACAGAGAGAGAGAGAGAGAGAGAGAGAGAGAGAGAGAGAGGCAGAGACACAGGCAGAGGGAGAAGCAGGCTCCATGCAGGAAGCCTGATGTGGGACTCAATCCCGGGTCTCCAGGATCACACCCCCGAATGCAGGCGGTGCTAAACCGCTGCACCACTGGGGCTGCCCACCATAGTGAAACTTATTTATACATTCACTAAATAAGCACTGTGCTAGGCCCCGGACTATAAATTTATCTTTGTAGTTCTCAGTCTGGTTAGGAAAACAGACATTTGATGGATAAATTATACAACTAGACTGGAGTTATTGATTGTAAATAATAGAAATAAGTTAATTTAAATGGAAAAGGAATTTATTAAAAAGATTCTTTTTTAAAGATTTTTATTTATTTATTCATGAGACACAGAGAGAGAGAGAGAGAGAGAGAGAGAGGCAGAGACACAGGCAGAGGAAGAAGCAGGCTCTGTGCAGGGAGCCCGACATGGGACTCGATCCCAGGACTCCAGGATCACGCCTTGAGCCGAAGGCGGCACTAAACCGCTGAGCCACCCGGGATGCCCATTAAAAAGATTCTTGAATGAGTTCTGGTTCTGGGTATGACAGAGTAAGCATACTCTATCCTATCTTTCCCACTGAATGCAATTTAAAAGCCCTGGACAGGGCAGCCCGGGTGGCTCAGTGGTTTAGTGCCGCCTTAGGCCCAAAGCGTGATTCTGGAGTCTTGGGATCGAGTCCCACATCAGGCTCCCTGCACAGAGCCTGCTTCTCCCTCTGCCTGCGTCTCTGCACAGCCCCCACCCCCCGTGTCTATCATAAATAAATAAATCTTTTTAAAAAAATAAAAGCCCTGGACACAGTGCATGTGGCATTTGAGACTCTGAAAAAAGTAAATGGTAGCAATTGGGGAAGGAAACCTGAATTCAAAGTATGAAAGTTCTGGCTTAGAGTTTCCTGTGTTTTGTTTATTTCTAAGCAAAATTTAAGGTGATTGCTCTGCAACAATCACTGTTAAGAGAATGAAAAGATAAGCTACAGGGGTGCCTGAGTGGCTCAGTTGTTTAAGAGTCTGCCTTTAATTCAGGAGCTCAGGTCATGATCTCAGGGTCCTGGGATCTAGCCTCACATTGGGCTCCCTACCTGCTCAGTAGGGAGTCTGCTTTTCCTGTCTCCTTAGCCCTGCCTCCTGCTCATGCTTTCTCAAATTAAAAAAAAAAAAAAAATCCTTAAAAAAAAAGCTACAAAAAAGGAAAAATATTTGTAAACAACATTTTCAGCAAAGGACTTATATTCAGAATATAAAAAGAATTCTTAAAACTTAGTAAGTAATAAGCAACTCAATAAAAAAATGGGAAAAGATTTTAACAGATACTTCAAAAACAACATATGGATAACAACATATGGATAACCAGCAGGTACCTGGCCTGCTCAGTTGGAAGAGGATGTGACTCTTGATCTCAGAGTTGTGAGTTCAAGCCCCCCTTTGGATATAGAGATTACTTTAAAAAAATAAACTTAAAAAATATATATGGAGGGGATCCCTGGGTGGCGCAGCGGTTTGGCGCCTGCCTTTGGCTCAGGGCGCGATCCTGGAGACCCGGGATCGAATCCCATATCGGGTTCCCGGTGCATGGAGCCTGCTTCTCCCTCTGCCTATGTCTCTGCCTCTCTCTCTCTCTCTGTCACTATCATAAATAAATAAAAATTAAAAAAATATATATATATATGGATAACAAATAAGTACATGAAAATGCTCAATACAAAAATGTTCCTAATGATGCTCAACATCATTAGCCATTTTAGAAATACAAGTTGAAATCACAATGACATATTACTACATATCTATTAGCATGGCTAAACTTTAAATAAAAGCTGACAATACCAAGTGCTGAGCAAGGATATAGGGCAACTAGAGTTTGACAGTTTCTTGTAAGTAAATCTAATTTATTATATGCCTCTGTAATTCTGCTCCTAGGTATTTACCCTGAATCAAGACTTATGTCTACACAGAAGCCTTATACAGTAATGTTTATAGCAGCTTTGTTCATAATTACCAAAAACTAGACACAACTTGAATATCCTTAAATAAATGAATGGATTAACAAACAATGTATGTCCATAAAACAGAACGCTACTCAGCAATAAAAAAAAATAATGAACTACTGATATACAATTACATGGGTGAATCTCAAAGACACTATGTTGAGTGAAAAAAATCAGTTCAAAAGTTATATACTGGGATCCCTGGGTGGCGCAGCGGTTTGGCGCCTGCCTTTGGCCCAGGGCGCGATCCTGGAGACCCGGGATCGAATCCCGCGTCGGGCTCCCGGTGCATGGAGCC